TTGTATAGCTGTACTTAGATGGACGCTTCTGTTATGGTTAGATAAATTGTGGCAGGTACATAATTAATTGGGTACAATTGATTCTAAATAATGAGTAGAATTCAGTGAGTTAACCTGTACCACGGTGACAGGTACATCATTACATGTATTTAATTGATGAGGTACTAGTGAGTACTCAATGATTGGGAGGATCCAGGGAGTTAACATGTACCCCAGTGACAGGTACATCATTACATGTATATAATTGATGAGGTACTAGTGAGTACTCAATGATTGGGAGGATCCAGGGAGTTAACATGTACCCCAGTGACAGGTACATCATTACATGTATATAATTGATGAGGTACTTATGAGTACTCAATGATTGGTAGGATCCAGGGAGTTAACATATACCCCAGGTAACATCATTACATGTATATAATTGATGAGGTACTAGTGAGTACTTAGTGAATGGTAGGATCCAGTGAGTTAACATGTACCCCAGTGACATCATTACAGATACAGTATATCATTAAACTGATCAGGGACTACTTACCACTGAGTGACTGGGGATTACAGGGACTTACTCTGTTAGAGAACTGTCTTTGTAGGGCTTTATAAACACTAGATAAATGTTTCTAGTGACATACATTCATATCAAAGTTGTTTTACTTGTCTATGAACCAAAACTGAACAATTCTCATAGCCAAGTTGTGTACATCTGTAGCTGCACTCCCCCACAACCTGTTCAGCTCTTAATGGGAATCATATTTTTCTGATTCCACAAGATCTGTGAGAGCTGGTACAGATAAAACTGCCCTATGTTGGTAGGTTTAAGATAGTAAAACAGGAGGAGGGTGTTCAGTGTGTGGTTTGGAATGACTCCCTGACACTACAAAAGGCAAGGGTAAGTGTTATCTGATAGGAGGCCTTCATTGGTAATTGTGTTTGATAACTTGGACAAATTGTTATCAGAAGATGAGAGAATATAAACTTGCACTGAGCTGAACTTGATGAAATAGGTAAACAGATATTGACAGTCTTTGATGTATAGCTGGGATGACTTGGCTTTGAAGATTACACATGTTGTGTCTACATTCATTTGTGATAGAGACTTAACAATGGGATGTTGACATGCAGAAGTGTCTTTACAGACATTCCTAAAAGACCTTGAATAGGCCTCTGATAAGTTAATGCAGGCTTTTCTAAGAACCTCAGAGAGAAAAATAACCTTTTTAGACAAACAGGTCCTTTCCACAGAAATTCTTGAAGATGGACTTCTTGATTCTTTTTAATCCTGTGACCTTTTCAAAGGCAGTCATTATAGACAGGTGACTTTGTTTCAAAAGGAAGGTCTTTATAGACAGGTGACATCTTTTCAAAAGGGAGGTCTTTATAGACAGGTTACCTTCTTTCAAAGGGGAGGTCTTTATAGACAGGTGACCTTTTCATATGGGAGGTCTTTATAGACAGGTTATCTTGTTTCAAAGAAGAGGTCTTTATAGACTGGTGGTCTCTAAGACTAAAAGACTGTGGCATGGATTCTGAGAGACATAAGGTCTCTTTTAACAGGTGACATCTTCTGATGCATCTTGTTGATTGGTCTTTGTTAGGGAAAGGGTAGGTGACTGATATTGGCTGTGATTGGTTGTTTTGATAACCCTTTTGTCCTAAGCATAGCAATGAATTAGTATGAAAACAAAATCTTTCGTATTTTTAAAACCATTGAAATTCAAAACAAAACCAATAATTATAAGAATTAATTAAGCCCATATAGAATAAGAAGTAACTTTTTTTTAATTTTGAAAAATATGAACATGCACTTGTAAATGCTATCTTTAGACTGCTAGGTTTTGAACAGCTGGTTCCTGAAGATTAGTATACACTCAGTGATTAGTGTAGATATAAGCTTTGTTGTAGTAACTTATCACAGCTGACCTTGTCCTTACTCATTGTTGTAGAGTTATAATCACTTATTGTGTGTAACGTCTTATGAATGATAATCTGTCCCTGTACAGTTTGTTTAAGGTGACCCAGATCATACATTCCTTGAACTGTTTATAATACAAACATATCTTCTTTAGTTTGTGTTTACCATGTATCAGTATGTATATCATGAATGCTACTATTTCATGTACAAATTTTACCATAATTTTATGAAAAAAAAAAGAAAAGAAAAAAATTGCTACATCACTTATCAATTAACAATTTATTTTCTGAAGTCTTTTTCAACTTTATTGCTAAAACAATGGGTCTTACAATGTAAAATTTAATTTTTTTCAGAAACTCTTTCAGTCCAAACAAAATTCTATGAATACAAAACTCAAGACTTTAAAGTAGATTTATCACTGTTACAAACATGGTATTTCATTGGATCAAATTAATTTAGCAAAATGCAGCTCAGCAATTGTTGAAAGTGTTCAGAAATATCTTTAACAGGTTTTCACTTAGCCTTTTATCATGCTGTTTACTGATGCCACCTAAAAACTATAGAAGTTCAAAAAATGTAATCAGCAGCTCCTTTCTTATGCTGGTCTTTGGCACTGCGTACTGATCTTGCAGTTTTTAATTCACTTTGAATAGCTCAGTAAATGTTTCAATGAAGTTTGCAAAAAACTTAAACAATGAAAGTTGTTCTGTCTGAGAGGCAGCTCATCAGCTACATAGACATTAGGTATACACACTATTACAATTCACCATCCATATTGATGGTAATTGGCTAGACTTCCCTGCTGTAATTGGACTCCTGCAGATTGGAATAGATGCAGGTGTCATCTGGAATGTGAGTCGTTTTCCTATTCATGGATACAGAGATGGTGATCCATTCTCAGAGGTAAAGGATCATGCAATCCTTTCTAACAGATACAGGGCCTGGGGATTCCCCTGTCTTGGGTACAGAGCCTGGAGATTCCCTGTCTTGGGTACAGGGCCTTTGGATTCCCTATCTTTGGTACAGAGCCTGAAGATTCCCTGTCTTGGGTACAGGGCCTTTGGATTCCCTATCTTTGGTACAGGGCCTGAGGATTCCCCTGTCTTGGGTACAGGGCCTTGGGATTCCCTGTCTTTGGTACAGGGCCTGAGGATTCCCTGTCTTGGGTACAGCGTCTTGGGATTCCCTCTTTGAGTTACAGTACCTTAAAATCCCCTGTCTGGGGTACAGGGTGTTGGGAATCTTTCTTATTGTTACAGGACCTTGGGATCCCTTGTCTGAGTAGCAGGGCCTTGGAATTATCTCTAAGAGGTAGAGGACTTGGGAATTCAATCTCTTATTATTGCAGACCAGGAGTAGAGAAGGGATAGGATGTTTGCTTTTGTAGGTATTCCCTCACTGAAGCAAGTAGACAGATGATTCTGTCTTGGAGGCATATGTCTAAGGATATTCTAGCTAGGATACAGAGCCAGGGAATTCTATTTCTCATGTACGGGACTTTATTCTTCCAGGTCTAAGGCCTTATGATTTCATTATTGATATTAAGGTCTGTTAGACCGGTATCTGATACCTATATTAGGGTAATTAACCTGTTTCTATTAAAATCCTATGATGTGGGCCAGGACACCCATCAAAACATCGGCACTGCTAACTTCTATAGTGAGGTAGGCTGATTGATTCCTTTGTGGAGAAACCTAAAAAACAGTATGGTTGGGTACACCTGTTTCACATCACCAGCCCAACACCCTGAGAGTGGTATACTCCAGAGAGACCACTGTTTCCTGTTCCAGACTTGTAGTAATTAGTGAAACATATGTAGGCTACCCAACATTACACTTTAATTGTTTAACTGCTTCATATAGACAGGAGAAAGTAAGTTATCAGCTTATTTTTGTGGAACAAGAATCTAGTCAGGTATGCATTCTGCTTTGTTTGCAGTTAGTACTCAAGTACATTAAGCTTTTGATATATATATATATATATCTTAAGTCTTTTTAATTTCCCCCCACTACTTATTTTGTGAAGCTATTGAAATGAAACACAGGTGTGCAGTGTTACAATTCCCATCTAATATAATACAGTTTTTAACATGTTCCAATTTAAGTCTTAATGTAAAACTTTAATGGTATAATAATTTTGACTCTGTTATATCTCTAAAATGCTTGAATGTGATATTCCAGACCTCATTGATGGTAAGCATGTCGGCGACTAAGGGTTCTTAATACCTGGTGATGATACATTCAGTCCATGTAGTATGATAGAGAGAGTAAATGTGTCAGAGACTGAGGGTTATACCTGTAATCAGATGTAGATTCAGTCCCTGTAGTATGATACCTGGTGATGAAGTGGTCTCTCATTTACACCTGTACACAAGTAGTACTCTTAGCATTGTTATTTACATAATTAACAGGTACAAACACTTCCAATTTATCACCTGGACTTGTTATTACATAGTCAAACTAGCCATTATTCAGATATTGGGGATCACCTGGATTTTAATTATGCTGCAGTTATATAATGTGATTTGACTATGACAAAGCTGTTTGCTAAATGGGAAAGAAAGTACCAGGGGATTATTAAAAATCTATGCTACTGGTATATAGATATTTGAACTCATTAATGATATTGGTCAGGTGGTAGGGCTTTATATTTGTCCAGCTGTGTTGTTTTCACATGGATGCATTAGTAGAACTGGAGCTTGTGGCAGACTTCCTGTATTCTCATTCCAATTATGTTGTAACAAAGTCTGTAGAAGTCTATTGATATATACAGAAGCAAAATAAAAGTGCAATTTTCTTGTAAAGTTGAATAACCAAGGGAAGTTAGTCTGACAATAAGCTGATGACCATACCTTTGTCAAAACTGCTTTACTCAATTGATTATTTCTTGTGTTAAATAGAGAAAGAAAGGACCAACCCAGCAAACATGTTACAGCTGCCTGAGGGGTTTGAGAACCATATCTATCTTCTGTGTATATTGTAATCCAGTTTGTCCTTCTCCAACAAGTTTAATTGATTCTTATAGTGCCTGTTTTTATGACTGTTTATTATCCAGCATGTGGTAAAGGTATTCTTTTATCATTTCAGACTCCGCTATGAAGCTTTCTTAGCAGCCTGTCACACCATTACTCTGCCATGACAACTATGGAACGGTCAGACAGAATGCTATTCATATCGGAATCTCCAGCAGATAGGAGTTTTGACAGTAAGATGACCAGTTACAACCAACAGTCGACAATGACGGAAGTCCACATGGTTGGGACAGAGACAAACAATGTTGCTGTTAATCGGGTGTGGGGCCCCCCAACTGGGAAGGCAACTGCAGAGATTCGCCACGTCAATGTCAACATGGACGCCAACCATAATGTGAAACCCTCTGAATTTCTACAGAAGACTAGTCATTCTTCGTTTTCTTCGTCTTCGAGTTCGTCTCTGCCACCACAAACCACAATGAAATCGTACTCCTCTGTATCGTCTTCAGCCTCACTTCCACAAACAACACCCCACATGCGGCGGATCCAGTCAGAAAGTGCAGCAGCAGAAATGCGTCCTGAGGTTGGGCGGGAGCATGCCACTGCACAAATGCGAGGGGTTGGGACAGAAAATGTGACAGCTCAGATGTGGGGGACAGAGAGCGTGCATGCTGAGTACCGAGACACTGGGCATGCAACAGTCACCACAGAGGTCAAACATAGAGGTAAGCAGTTATCAGACTGTTGTGTCAAACAGGGAGATCAGGGTATTCGTTGTCACATATATTTGTAGCAATATTAGGATTTTACAGATTCAAAATAATAGCCTTTAGCTGAAAGCAATGGTGTTTTGTCAGCTATATATATTCATAATGATAAACTAGTGCCTGATAATAAGCCCACCCATATCTATGGGTGTTGACTATAGACTTTACAACAGTTACTATCTATAATTGTTCTTTAATAACCTGGTCTCCTGACTTGGAGTCTAATGAAATATATTGGCTCCCTAGTCTTATTACAGGATATATATAGTATCAGAAAAATAAAAGTCAAAGGTTAATGGTCAGAAAGGTTAATCGGAGAATAATGTAATTTTGAATGGAAAGAAATCTTAAGATTTATTACTACTCTCATGGCATTTAGCTATAGACACAACATACTTCAATTTGGTGATAATGTGTATAATGGGATTTGTCCATTCACTGACAGCCATCGTATAGGCCTATAAAATGGTTCAACTCCATAGCCTATGTAGCTATATGCTATTACCTTCTCTAACCCAAAGGCATTCAAGCTGAATGTTTTTATCACTGTTCAGATAGTCTGCTTTTGACTGTTTAGCCTCATTGTTGTCATTTTCATTGTATTTGTAATTTTGTAGGCAGCAACATTGTTGTAAAATTCAACACAACTTGATATAACATGTTTAGAGAAATTTGACTTCTATCAAGTTTGTTTTCTATGGTTACCTGGGTGTTGGTCAACTTTGATTTCAGTTGCTACCTGAGATAAGGTCTACTTTGATTGCTATGGTTACCTGGGTGTTGGTCAACTTTGATTTCAATTGTTACCTGAGAGAAGGTCTACTTCGATTGCTATGGTTACCTGGGTGTTGGTCAACTTTGATATCAGTTGTTACCTGAGAGAAGGTCTACTTTGATTGCTATGGTTACCTGGGTGTTGGTCAACTTTGATTTCAGTTGTTACCTGAGAGAAGGTCTACTTTGATTGCTATGGTTACCTGGGTGATGGTCAACTTTGATTTCAGTTGCTACCTGAGATAAGGTCTACTTTGATTGCTATGGTTACCTGGGTGTTGGTCAACTTTGATTTCAATTGTTACCTGAGAGAAGGTCTACTTTGATTGCTATGGTTACCTGGGTGTTGGTCAACTTTGTTTTCTATGGTTACCTGGGTGAAGGTCAACTTTGTTTTCTATGGTTACCTGGGTGTTGGTCAACTTTATTTTCTATGGTTACCTGGGTGAAGGTCAACTTTGTTTTCTATGGTTACCTGGGTGAAGGTCAACTTTGTTTTCTATGGTTGCCTGGGTGAAGGTCAACTTTGTTTTCTATGGTTACCTGGGTGTTGGTCAACTTTGTTTTCTATGGTTACTTTGGTGCTGGTCAGCTGATTTTTATATGGTACCTTTAGTGTTGGTCAGCTTTTATTATATATATGTACATGATGCAGTGCTGGTAAGATATATCTGAGGTTACCTTAAGACTTAACTACATAGATATAGATACTTAATCTGTTGACAGATTATTTATCCTGTTTGTGTTCACAATATTGTTGGCTAGGTCAGTAAACAAGTTATTTTGAAACTCCAAAATTTGTTCAAATTCTGCTTGATCTGTGAAGTAATCTGGAGCTTGTTGATGTGAAGCATTGTAGGTGAATGATTTGGTAATACATGTTCCAATTCCCATCTCTTCAAGTATCTAATTCATTCATCTGTTTACATTTTATTAGATTCTGCTTTCAAAATTGTCTTATTTTAAGTTGCTTTGAATATATGAAGTTTTGTTTTCTAGAAAAAAAAAAATGAAAACATTTATCACTTTAATACTGCAGAGGCACATGTCTGTCGCCATAGAAGTTATTATTTTCCTGTTGTTGAAACACATTTTTATCCTCTAGGTAAATATGAACCTTACCAGTTAGATGGTCCTTTCTGATTTATTGGAAACTCGCTAAAGTAGTTTATCTGAATGGCTTATTGACTGTTACTCTATAGATGTCCGACAGAGTGTGATCATTCATAGTAAAGCTACATTGGTACATTAATGACTTCCCAGAATACAATCAATATATTCCAGTAAAATATCAATAAGATCCATATAATACGACCAGGAGAAAATATGTACTTTTGTTTGATATGAAACCTGGAATAATGTTTTTTATGAATGCTTACTCTTCTGGAACCCCTGGTCTTATTCTACTTGTACTTGTTTTTATTTTAATTGAGGGAAGACGGGGAGATGGAGGATCCTTGTATGAATCTTTCATTTGTTTATATTTTGCTCACGTTTCGTTTCATTGATTTGAGCTTGAATTAAGCCTCTGTTGTTGTATCAGTATTAGTAAGATCAATATCATGATTGCTGATATTTGACATTCCACAATTATATAATGCTCTACATATTTAAAACTTGTTTCTAAAATCTGTTGGAATGATTAATGCTGAGATAAATAGGCTTTTATCCTATCTACCACTCCTTGCTGTTTCAATGAACTGATTCGTCTATTTCTTGAATTAAATCTTTCACTTAAGAACATGAAAGGGATCGGAAGTTGATGAAGATGTCAGTATCTTTATATACGGGCTTGTCCATTGCTATATAATTTTGTTTAACCTTTTTGAACCAGCCATATCCACCAGTGTGGTGAGTTGACAGTTGTCTATTGGAATGTTTCATCATATGTCAAGATTCATTGACAGATACGACCAGAGTGCTACGTTTATGGACTTTTATTTTATATGAAACCTGGCGTGATGTTTCTCTGAATGCTCTGCATCAGCAGTAGCCATCACACTTCCTCATTTTTTGGTCCATCAAACATTCAAGAGTTAGCGTGATGCTGTTCTGAGCAGTTTTATTTGCAATCTAGTGTTAGTTCTATGTGGAGAGCAGAATTGGTGCGGATCACAAGCAGAAAACGGTGTGAAGTGGTAAAATTTCTCTTCTTTAATCTGCATAATGGAATTGAAACGACTGGTTCCTGGAAACTATTCTTTCAGTTACAAAGTATCCTAGGAGTCTGCTGATGTCCACAACACTTGAGGGGTTTGTAAGTGATCTTTTTTGTAAGTGAAGTGTACTTTGTGATGTTGCCTTCTAAACGACACGAAAAAAGTGTTTAGTGTTTTGGAAAGATGTTTTTTGATAATGTTAAGGTAAGGCAGGTAACCATTTATGAAGTAACATTGTTAATGTTCGGACAAAGGGCACATTTAATTGAGTTGAACATACTTGTTATGATATTGAGTATACTGTAATACATGTCTGTGATCTAGCAGTTGTATGCCTTGATTACTGATAAATCTGTAACAATATTTCATACACCATCATCACTTTGTAATGGTTCAGATTTTGGTAGTTTTCTTGTTAGCACTAAATCAAAATTGTGATAATTGATCCCTGTGATAATTAGAGGGAACCAGTTCTTCTTTTTACATGCATATCAAATGTTTTAAATGTGATTCTATATTTTACTGACCAAATGATGTCTATACAGTAGTTATCATGGACACGATAACATAATTACCTCAATGAGTTATGATTGAAGATTTGTAACATGTATGTAATAGAGGTTATTATTTATTCAATGCCTCTACTAGGATTTGAATCCCTGACCCCTGGCTTACTGGTCTGACGCTCAACAGATCAAGCTAAAGGGAAGTGCTCTCTAGCCGAACGGTATACTGCGGCTAGAATTTTACCCGCGTAACGTGTACAAGATTCCTACTGGATTTGTATCATTTGTTTTCACATACTAGAAAAACCTTGGAGTTCACAAGATAGGATACTATATCTTCATACATGTCTGCTTTTAATGGATATGAGAAGTTCCATATCATGACAATAAAATTTGACGCAAGGCAATTTTGTGTCACCTGTGGTCTGACAGACAAAAATCGTTTTAGGCCTGTGATTGTCTGTAGCATATCAGAGATTTGTCTGTAACTTCATATCAAGAGTCGGTAGGTTTTGGTGATGGAAAACATCCTCAGGAGATTGCAGATTTCTCATTGACCTTGAAAGTCTTCTCCTTAAAATGGTAAATAAAGTTGTATTGACCATATCATGGTATTAATTTCTTGCAATGGATAAGAATAGAAAATTGTTCTTATAAAACCAAGCGAAAGAGACTGTCGTGATTTGTGGGTTATGATGAAGTGTGATAGAAAGATTGAGAGAGCTGTATCTTATTGATTGTTCCCAGGATCTGAGAGATTCCTGTTTTCTCCATTCATTGATTTCTTTCAAACGGGCTAGGGATGTTCTTTAGCTTTTTGATGTACAAAATAAATTCAGTCATTAGCTGAAGTGATTCTGCGATTCTTTGAGGGGCCTTTTCCCTGGCCAGTCTGAAAGGTATACAAACTTAGCATGTGACTTCGATCAGCAGGAAACTCATACTGCTGGGTCTTCAGGGCCATGTGAGGAACGAGGAAATTTTCAAATGAAATTATAATCTCATTACCAAGAAAGACCAGCAGGTGCTGAGAAGCCATACATACCAGAGTTCAATATTTGGAGTAAATGTTTTCAAAATTTTGTGTAAAAAATATAATTTCCTTCTTATTGCAGACATTTAATAGTTACATGTTGGAGTTTGAAGTAATTCACCTGGATTACCATTAAAAAAACTCTTATTGTGCAATAGTTTGCCTTGTTATGAACTTTGTAAGAATATGATATTTTCAGATTTTGAACTTTTGTGAAGTTTGTTACCAAGTGTTGTAGGAATGTTTAAGCATCTTGAAAATGCGTAACTAAAACAGATTGTCTAGAACCAGCATTTGTATCGTATACAGGATGATTTGAAGTTTGAAATAAAAATAACTTTTTCGTAGATTTAATTAATGGTACCATTTAATATGAATCACACTAACATCTTCTGGTTGGTGGTACATTTGATTACTATCAGTTATTGTTGATAAATTTGAATCTCGAGTGAAATGATTTGTTGTTGATTTGTTACTTTTGAGCGATGTTTGGGATTGATGCTGATGGACAGATTAGCTCTGTTTTTGGTTAGTTATCTGTACTAGGTCAGTGATTACTTTTGATATTTGTTGTAATTTACTTTTGAAAGTTAATTTTGTTGATCTTTCCCTTTGTTTTAGAAAACCGCTTTTCTCTGTGTCTTGCCTACAAAGTCTGTACACTTGTATTGTATTGTGGATGTATAGTTTGATTGGTGGGATCTTTTCACAGTTTTGCAATCTTATGGTGCCTCGCCATGTTGACCAGTCTGTATTGATCAATAGAGGAACAAGAGCTAGTGTAATTCCAAATAATCAAATTTTGTCAGAGCGGTGCACCCATTGGTGAGGGTTTTATTTACGGTCCGGAAGCTGACAGGTTTGTGTACTTGTTAGTGTTACCAAGTTCGATTCAACTACCCTCCAAGGAACACAGATACTTTATAGACGTTTTATGTGGTGAATGATGGGCAAGCTTTATTGGGAGTAAGTGATGCAGTGCTGTCTAAAATGGAAACAGATATCCTCTACTAATACTCTACAGAGCGAACACTGTTGTGTTTAAATTGGCTCTGTCTTTCTAATGATCACATTAGGAATAGAAGTGCTTAAATGGATGCAGATAGTTTTCAATAATACAACAGTGCAGCAATTCGTCGCCAACATAATAATACAAATTTTCAAAAAAAAAAAAAAAACAGTACATGTAGATTGATATGTGCCAGCACTGCAGTGGAGCGCTTGGCACTCTTTGTGATGTATGTGGAGGCACTAACATTGTTATTGATAGATATCATAGTATGAGACTGAAGCTAGAAATTCTTCAGATTGAATGAGGGTTGTAACAGACAACTGTACCCACATCATATGGACAAACTTGAAGTCACATCTTGTATTTGTTTTATATATGACATTCTGAAGCGTAGCTGTACAAATCCATGTGGAATATGTTTTTAATAGTGCTACTAGGTCCTGATGTTGTTTAAACTCCAAACGTCAGAAAGAACTGGTTTTCATTTACCTGGAATGTTTGTTGCTGGAGAATTTTGGAGCCATACAAGATATTAACAGTGATTCTTTAGCATTGGAGTCAGTAGATGGTTAGCTGCTACCATAAAATACTAAATCTTTTTGTGGAAAAATTATCACATTTTTTTTTGGATTTGTGTCTTGAAACTGTGAATTAACTGTGTTTCTATTGTGAAGTGAGATTCAGAAAGTTACACTTTACATTCTCAATTTTCTCATTTGGATGACTGGTTCTATTCATCAATTCTTTATATTCTCATCTTCAAACAAGAGTTAGTGTGGATCATGATTGTTTATTACCTGTGTTTTTTAATGGTTTGGTAAACAGGGAGAGTTAACTTTGCATTAGGAGAACAATTTACCAAAGGATATTCGTGATATTGTGTTGGTTGGTATTGTGAATGGTCAATGTTAATATTGATTAACCTCAGTGTGTAAAGTATGGAAACGTTACAGAAAGAAATGACTTATTGATGTTTTATCCTGATATAGCTTGTACAGTTTTAATGCTTTGATTCTGATATTGCAATTTCAGTTTTACTGCTTTGATCAAGATATTGCTTGGTCAGTTATGATGCTTTGATCCTGATATTGCAAGTTCAGTTTTAATACTTTGATCCTGTTAAGCTTGTTCAGTTCTAAGGCTTTGATCCTCATATCGCTTGTTCAGTTCTAATGCTTTGATCCTGATATCGCTTGTGCAGTCCTAAGGCTTTGATCCTGATATCGCTTGTTCAGTTCTAATGCTCTGATCCTGATATCGCTTGTTCAGTTCTAATGCTTTGATCCTGATATTGCTTGTTCAGTTCTAATGCTCTGATCCAGATATCGCTTGTTCAGTTTTAATGCTCTGATCCAGATATCGCTTGTTCAGTTCTAATGCGCTGATCCAGATATCGCTTGTTCAGTTCTAATGCTCTGATCCTGATATCGCTTGTTCAGTTCTAATGCTCTGATCCTGATATCGCTTGTTCATTTCTAATGCTTTGATCCTCATATTGCTTGTTCAATTCTAATGCTCTGATCCAGATATCGCTTGTTCAGTTCTAATGCTTTGATCCTGATATCGCTTGTTCAGTTCTAATGCTTTGATCCTGATATTGCTTGTTCAGTTCTAATGCTTTGATCCTGATATTGCTTGTTCAGTTTTGATAATTGGCCTCAAAACGATTTTCATTGCCTAATTTCATTGTTTTTCGTTCTTTCAATAGTGTACATAGAATGGTAAATTCTATTCTTTCTTCCTTTTGCAGAAAATGGCGAGAAGAAAGTGACCATTACAGAGAATGGTCAATGTACATGCTGTCCCTATGGTTACCATATAGACTTGGATTTCGTCAACTACTGTGACAGTTTGAATGATCCTGCCTATTTGAAAAAGTTAAAGAGGTTACAACGAGAAAAGCGCAAACTTCGTAAATCTATGGAAGTTTACCTCCAACAACAGGAGAGTTCTGGTAACCAACAAACAGAAACTGTCGAGCAGATAAGTCTTGTGCCACTCAACCAACAAAGTGCACCAGCCAATCAAGTACTGGATGAGATTGACTCCTCTGTAGATGCCACATTAGCCTCAATTAACACAATGATGTATACATCTGCTCATGGCCGTCTCATGAGCTCTGAGAGTGAGGGAACATCAAGCTCCACAAGTCCTCAAAATACAGAAAAGTTCAATACATTTCCACGAAATCGTGGTAAAAACATCCAAGAAGAAATAAATCAATTCAATACATCTTTCGAGATGCAAAGAGGACGAACAGACTCCCAAAGTTCCTTATCTTCAATTTCTACAATTGCAAGTGAAAGAAATATTCCAACACAGAGTGTATCAACTTATAATCACACAGGGGGTAGCAACTATGGTCAGAGTACGGTCACTACAGAAACAAGTTACTCCCGTTTTACACACATCACATCTGAACAGTTGGCAGCTACCATGGCAACACATTTACCAACCCCAGAAGATGGTGCTGCCTCCTCTCATTCTACGACAACAAGCATCAGTAAATCCTCACTACATGAAGTCCGAGAGGTGATGGCAATGAGTCTACAGAGGATGAGGGAACTAGAGGAACAACTGAAGGCCATCCCAGTTCTACAGGTGCGTATTTCAGTCCTTAAGGAGGAGAAGCGTCTCCTTATGTTACAGCAGAAAGCTCGGGAGTCAAAGATGAACATGCGTTCCATTGGCGTTGGAGATTCTCCTGTTGAGGAGGTTGTTAAACCGGTTAAGTCCCCAACAGTCAAGACTCCACCACCAGTCATGCCAAAACCACGACTCAAATCAAAGGCTGTTGGAGACAACAATGTAATGGTGCCATACCTGGTTCAGCCTGAGCTACCACCTAGCTACACAGTAAGAGACAATGAAACATTCATACAGGAAACATATGTGTTGGAGAGAGAACGTGGAAACACAGCACTATACTCACCCTTCTCCAGAACACCAAAACCCCTAACCCGAACAATAGGCATTGGCGATGCAAATGTGCTGGATGATGGTTTAAAGATACATGAAAAAGAACTAAGAACTGTGATTATCGGGGAAGCAAAGTCTGTTGGTAAGCGTCATGTTGGTGTTGATTGTCGGGTTTCAACCAGAGATGTTGGTGTGTCTATTGCAATTGATGAGGAAAAGCCTTCTACGCGTACAGTTGGTGTAAATGTTGACACAGGCTCCTTACTCACTTCACTAAGCTTCAAGGCTGATGAGATGAGGAGTGCGTTGAGGGAGGTACTACACAAAAATGTTCGAAGTATTGGTGTCAACTGTGATTATAGGGCTCAAACTATGGAGAGAGGGGTACAGTTTTCGGAATATTCACTACGAACTGTAGGTGTTGGTGACTATGATGTTGATATAGAATTACGGGCTCCTGTTCCCACAAGAACAGTTGGAATTGAGGCTCAACCTCATGTCATAAATAAATCTGTAAACACTGACTATGGCTGGAAGCTTGATGCAAGCACCAACACAGTAAAACAGTACCAGGAAAACAGGTCAACCATGACAGACAGGGCAAGACTGGGCAGTGCAGGGACCATGACAGAGGCTGACAAAATGTACTCCGGTGGCACACAGACAGATGTTATGATGTTTATGAGGATGGATCAACTGAAAAATGCAGGTTGTAATACAAAACGAAAAACCACTTATAGTGATAGCGTCCAAACAGACTTGAGTGAAGTTGTGTCTGAGGATTATGAACTGGAGGTCGTTTCAAAGAGCAGACGACCCATTAAAACTAATTCCTGGACTAACACAGATGCAGAACCTCGAAAGTACAGCACATCGATGAATACTGAGGAACCAAGAAAATACAATAAATCTATCAACACAGAGTCAGTAAGGACCAGAGACATGGGATGCAGTGATGATAAGGTAGACTCATTCGTGTGTACTTTTAATGATGAAGAAAGAATGGAGGAGACAACAGAGGAGATCGTTACCTGGACAACAGAACAGGAAGTAAAGAGTGACTGGTCAGGTCAGGCCAAGGGTCAAACCATTGAACGCCACTGGGATGCATCCCAAGACAATAGCAGGATGAAGAAATCCAGAGAAATCACAGAGGTTCCAGAATCTTCTATGGTCGTTGTGTCACAGAAAGCTACTAACTTGATGTCAGCTTCTCCTAAATACAAAGATGAAAAGTCATCGGAGACCTGGCAGGATGAACGTAATATTCGTGAACGGGTTACACAGGTGAGTTCAGATCAACAAAGTTGGCAGGAGGTTGATCGAAGCCAAGAGGTAGTGGAAAAAAAGATTACTAGCCAGGGTGGTGACACCTATACAGTCACAACCATCACACGGAAGACTCTAGGTGAACCAGATGGTGAAATGAGTGGAAAAGCCAAAGTTAAAAGTATCAAAACTGGAGGCAACACTGAGATCACAAAAGTTGCTGATGATAGTGGATTGTCTGGTATGAGTGGAACCCAACAAACAGTTACAACGATAACACGAAGCACAAGTGGTTCAGGTGGTGGCAGACAAGTGGTGGAAGAAAACGTAGAACAATCTATGTCTGCTTCTCAACTGAAGGCTGAGCTTGATCTCTTAGGGAGATCAGGAGGGTCATCGTCATTGATGATGCAAGGGGGCTCAATGGGGTCCACAGGTTCATCATCTGTAATGATGACCTCCTCCAGCAGTGGAGTGTCAGGAATGACCTCTAGCAGTGGTCAATCTGGTTCAGATCTTAGTCTGAGTGGTCAGTCTTCAACTAGTGCCAGCAGTGATGCCAGTGAGGAAGAGGAGGTGACAGAGTCTTTAGAAATCAGGACATACAGAACCTCAGAACTCCTTCCAGCTGGCAAGAGCTACTTTGAGCAGTATGTTAGATCAGGGGAGGGTGGAGACCATGGTGTTACCATTTTCAACACACATGCTATTGACTCAACCGATGGCAGCTGCAAGTCTCTAAAGTCATGTATGAAGAAAAGTAAGTCCGACACACAGATCAAGAGGGGCATCACTTTTGCTGAAAATGTGGTTGGAGGGTAAGTGGACTTGTTTTTGTCAATATTGTAACTCATTAGTAAAAATCGTTATTTTAAATTTGTTCTCAAATGGTACAATATTATTTGGATCTGAATTGCATGCTAATTTGGTTGTGTGGTGGCTTCTAATATATTTGGCTTAAAGATTTGCTGGAATCTTACATAATGGTATAAGACAGGGCAATAGGGACTAGGTTTTGTTATTTGTAACATGTTGAGCTGACTCTGCTGTCCAACTTTTTGACCGTCCAGTTATACATCTAGTAGTGCTGGTGATGAGAGTTCAGAGGATGGGGAATCTGACAGTGAGTCAACGACAAGTTACGAAGAAGGATCATATGATGGGCGTGAGGGCAGTATTGTCTACCAGTGTAAGGATGATGAGGCCATTGCACGAGGAATGCCTGGAGCCAAAATGTTTGACCAAAATATTCGGGAAACGTACGTAGGCCAGTCAGTGTTATAATGTCTGATATATCAGTTTTCTGTGGTGCTTTGTGAATGTTGATAGGGCAGACCTTATGCAACTGATTTTGACTCTAGTTCAGTTTATTTCTCGTAAATGATTAATTTACGTTGTTAAATTTTCCATTTTCCATGGAATTTATCAATGTGTAGATATTTCTTTTTATGCTCCCCAAAAATTTTTCCGGGGAGCATATTGTTGTTGCGTTCTCCTTACCTCTATCTTTCTATCAGTCCTTTTGTGTCTAGATCATTACTTTGCCCAAAGAAAAGCAAGGATCACGAAACTTGGTGTATACATGGATCATACAAAAGGAATGTGCAATGTACCAAATTAAGGGCCCTTGACCCCATAATCACAGAATTACTGCCCTTTATTAAAATTCCATGTCCAGAGCATAATTTTCTTACATTCAGACATGGATAATGAAACTCGGTGATACATTGATCCTACTTAAGCAATGTGCAGTATACTTAATTTATGACTTGCAACCTCTTAATTACAGAGTTATTGCCCTTTGTTGAAATATTGTGTCTAGAGCATAACTTTATATTGCTTGCATCTAAGCTAGGATAATGTAATCTGTTGTATACATTGATTGTATGAAGACAATGTGCAGTGTCCAATGTTAGGGTGCAGTGTCCAATGTTAGGGTGCAGTGTCCAGTGTTCGGGTGTAAGTGTAGCAAGTCACTGGGCCCTTTCAGTTTAGTTGTTCCCCTTTGTTAAGATTTTTTATCAACTAGTGTCATCAAACTTGATGTATACATTGGTCATACTTAGAAAATTAGCAGTATACCAAATTCAGGGGCCTGATCAATTTGAAACGATTTATTGGCTAGATATCTTTTGTTGAATTATTGTGAAAAGCCTGGTAAATTCATCCAGAATGGTTGCTATGTTTTTATATACAGTGTTTGCCTTGTATATGTATGTAGTTGTTTATAGAATTGATGATAGAAGTTGCTTTCCCTGTAGGTTTGAGTTGAGTAAAGAAATGCAAACATCTTCCTCTGTGCTGGCCAAGTACTTAGAGGACTCAACAGAGGTACAGACAAAGGAACTGGTAAGTAGTGTTTTATAATTCCATGTTATATATATTGCAGGTTAATAACCAGATTGGTAGAACTGGTACACTTCATTCTTTTGACCCTACCAATATAAATACTGAACAAATTGAAAATTTGATATAATAAAAGTGAATGAACTGGTTATTTATCAGTATTTACAGCCTATATTTAAAGAGATATGTCCCTAGTATCTCAACCACTGTGTTTTATCACAATTTTAGTGATAACATAATGTAACTCTACGGGAACTTCGGTTTGAAGAAATTATTATTTAAACAGATCTGAGCTGAGTATTTTTATAGCTCATGTACTTGGTACTCATTTCATGGTTTACTTGTTTTGTGACAGAATGCCAGCCTCAATGTGATACAGAAGGAGTGGTTTGGAATCTCTAGTCAGAAGCTATCGGAGCCCCACCAGGTAGAAGACTACCTGTCCAGCTTCAATGAGATTTCTCGGCGCCTTCTCGAGTATATTGTCAACATGCAGGATTCTAATGTGAGTATGCATCTTACTTAGTATAACAATAAAAATCTGTTACAGTATCCTTTGATGGTTTGCTGACTATCCTTAAATAAGAGTTGTCTCCCCCTCAGTATCCTTTGTTGGTTTGCTGACTGTCCTTAAATGAGAGTTGTCTGCCTTTCAGGGAAACACAGCCATACACTACGCAGTGTCCCACTGTAATTTCGAGATAGTGAACCTGCTGCTGGACACAGGGAAGGTGGACCTGGACAAGCAGAACAAGGCTGGCTACACACCCACTATGCTGGCTACATTGGCCTACCCTCAAACAGAACGTCAGCAGGAAGTGGTCCATCGCCTTTTCACCATGGGCAATATCAACGCCCGGGCCTCCAAGGTGGGTACTGACACAGGTGGATAGCAGTAGTGCTAAGGTTAAACATGACTAGTACTGAGGCAAGGGTTAAATGTGATTGATTTATATCATTTTGAAATTAAGAGATTCATCATGAGGGGTACCTGAACACAAACTTCATTAAATGATTAAATGTAATGGTCTTGTTAAGTCGTCTTCATTTAACATTAATTAAGAACTTGCTATATTGAATGACTTCATTCCCCTAGAACCAAAATAAAGATATTTTGTTGATATGTTGCTTGTGTATTGTTACTCTGCCTTCCTAAGTCACATTTGGGAGATCATACCCTGGCCAGCCATTCCTCAGGTGGCCGTTCTTCAGGAGGAAGTTATTCTAGTGGCAGCCGTTCTTCAGGAGGAAGTTATTCCTCAGGCAGTCATTATTCAGGAGGAAGCCAGTCCTCTGGAAGCCAGTCCTCTGGCAGTTCTAGTTCACTGTCCTCTGTAGGAAGTCGGTCACCAGAGATGAACCAGAGGTCATCATCATACCGCAGCTACTACAGATTTTGATTTACAGGCACAAGGTAGTACCCAGGGCCTTTGTGTCCTCTGTACCTAGGAATGACGAGCATGCTCCCATTTAATACCAGCACGGTGTCATGGCAACGAGGCGCATGATGTTTGCACTGTTGTAATATCAATGTTGTACATGTTACCATAGCTACATCACAGTAATCAATTCTGGCATATATGATCATTTAAAAAATTGAGCAATTGTATTTCCCAGAGGAACAAGTTTTCTCTATTGTGTAAAGATGTAGCTATGGTAACACCACTACAATATGGTATTGGGTGACATTATTTAGCATGGTGCATTCTTTTGATACAGGATGGACAGACAGCACTAATGTTAGCAGTGAGTCAAGGCCGCACAGAGATGGTCAAGCTGCTCCTCCAAAATGGGGCAAATGTTAACGCCCAGGACAATGAGGGGTCGACAGCCATGATGGTTGGATGTGAACATGGCTACACGGAAATTGTCAAGTTATTGATGGCACAGCCTGATTATGACCCCTCTTTGGCAGACAATGTAAGAATTCCTTCCTGCTCCTCTTCTCCTCAACTGAACACTCCAATTGATGTTGTACCGTACTTTTATAAACATGATCGTGCTCAATACACCTGCACTATATCGTGTTTTGTATTTCTTTCTTCCCTAGCTTTTGTCTTCTGCAGGTTGTTATATCTGCTTTTAGTGGAGTATGTAGAAATGTCTGATGTGTAGATCATGTGACTTTTCTTGTCACTTTTAACAGATTTGAAAGCTTCAAAATCTTAATATCTTTTCGTTTCGTATTAAGATTTGTTTTGTACTTTCAGGAAAATTTTGAATCAAATTTTCGAATCAAATTGACACAATTATTGGATACATTTGTTTTTCGAATTTTGTAACATCTTTGTGAAAAAAATATGCCCATTGACTACTGGTAGTGATTACAATGCAAGCAAGAACGTCCTTTTAAAGATCTAACATAGATTAATCACACAGGGAGCTGTCAGAACAAAATGGTATAGTAGAGGCTTCATCACTATTACAGTATAGTGCCTTCCATATATATCACCATGCCTTTTACAGACATTTCACCAAGCCTTGTAAATGGACTAACTTGTTTTATCAAAGTGTTGGTTTACTTTTTTGCTGTTGATTTTGCTTGCTATAATTTTCATTTCATTTTACATTTGACAACTTCTATTTAAGAAAATAACAGAGTAAAAGTATTTAAAAATCTAAAATGTTAAAGAGTTTTGTTCAATTATTTGTATTATAATCGAAATCAAAATAAGGACCTTAAAAAGGTGTTATCTTATCTCACTGGTAATGAAAATTCAGTGATCGGGTATTTTGTTTAGATGGTACTGTGAAGTCAGAAAGGGATTTAATCCTGAGTGTAGGCCTATATCTGGTAAAATGTGGTAGGTAGGATTTAGTGGTACTTCAACTGCCTCTAGATTGCACCCCTACTTTATTATTGAATTGATAGTGCTTGATAACCACAAATTAATGATACTAGCTTCATAGTTTAGCTGTATATATTATAGGGTAAATGTTAAGAAATTTAATTGATGTTCCTTATTAAAACTGTATGGGAAAATTGTCTGTAATATAGAGGGAAGAGTAATGATATTATTCAGAATGAAGTATTGGAAGTAGAAGGAATATGCATTCTGATTTCACTAACACTTGTACAAGTTCCTACACAGTCCTAGAAAAGAAATATAAGAGTTATGTTTGTTATGTATTATTGTTGTCACTTTACAGTCATGTATCAACAAAATCTCCAGAATACTATTTTGTTGAAATCTGGTGCTAATTCTTGTTAATATTTTATTATTTTATGTTTATCATATTTATTACGACATGTTAATGATTTCATCTTTTTGGAATCCAATCATTTTCATAGTTATTTTTTTATTTGAAAATGGCAATTTTTTTTATTTTTCTTACATCATACTTCAATTGTATATGAATATCAGTATTTATCATGGATCATGAAAGTTCCAGTGTGATAGGTAAAAATTCCCATTCCTTTAAAATAAGGATATCAGACAACGACTTTAAAGATTGCTTAAGTCGAAGGAGGGCTATAATGATGTTCACTATCTAATAGTTACAGAGATTAATTCTTCAGGTATTTCCTAGACACAAATTTATCATTCCTTCATTTTTTTTAAAGATATTTGATGCTTCATTTTGTGTGTGTAACATATTATTTTTCTTTTTTGTTTTTCATTTTTTGTTTATTTTTCACACGCCGCTGAGCTGAACAATACTTATATTCTATGGACCCTATGAGGCTTCAAGAGAAAATAATATTATAGTAACATCTGAGTTTTTGTTTATTTTATTTTGAACACTGAAACGTTCGTGCTGACTGGTCACATCTTGGTCCTTGTAAGGGTACATGAGTGAGTACCAACACATTAACCCTCATTGCTAGAGCGTTACCTAGGTTACTCGCCCTAGCTCAGACCAGTGGGTGTGTCTTTTGACAGTCCCTGGTTTTGCAGCTTCCTGTACCCAAGATTCCTCATCTGCCCCTTTTTGTTAATGCTTGCATTAATACTGTATCTTCAGTGCTTCCTTTTTATTTTGACATTAGATATTAACTGTACAGTATATAGTACTTGTAAACTTAATGTTGTTTTAGTTTTCGTGCTTGGGGTTATTCTCTTATGTAACTTCAAACTTTCATGCAGTGACAGTTTGGTTCAAGATTGAATCAAAGCCAAATATTTCACATGTATCCTCCTATGGAAATGTCAGTCAAAATGCATTTTGGTTACCCCATTTCACAGCATGAAAGTGAATTCATATATCTTTACCATGGATTTAGATATACATTTGTATATGTAAGTCTGTGATCTGTACACTTAAGTTAGTATATTATCACAATCATTGGTACACAGTGTAAAATGAATACACATAGATGTTGGTGAAACTGCTTTCAAAATGAAACATTACTGAAATTATAAATGAATTAGGTCAGGCTTGTTTCCAAGCATCATTGTTAAATCAAAACTCAATGTACTACATGTTTAGGTATCAAAACATTGAATAAGGGGAGATAACTTCCAATAAAACTGCGGCGTTGATGGCTTATAAAGGGGAGATAATTCTGCATTTTATATATAAGGTGCAAGTACAGTATTTTCACCATTTTTTAGATGGTGCTTGCCAAGTTTTTTTTTATCTTTAAATTTACATGGGGAATGTTTTGCAGAGACTTGCTTTTGATTTAAGACAAGATATCTGAACCATTCTTTCTTGGACGAATCAAAATTTTTCCTTCGTAATAGGGTGTGTTTTGCAGGAATATTACACTGTGTACTGTTGTGAAATGTATTCTATTGTATTTTATTGTGCATGTTGATGTTGTACTGATTTTATTTCACCTTTCCCTTTGGTGGTGCATGTTTGTGTAGGATGGGAGTACCCCTCTGTCGATAGCCATGGAGGCAGGCCACAAGGACATAGGAGTCTTATTATATGCACAACTTAACTTTAAACGACAGGCACAAGCTTCTCCAGTAAGTTCTTTTCACAGCTCACAAGTCTGGTGTCACTCGACAATGCAGTTTTTAAATAGTTTAGAGTTTGATGCTATTATCAAGATTTCTGTAAACTTTACTGCATGTGGTTTTGTTTTTTGACCAGATTATAATTTGAAAATCAGTTTCAAATCAAAATATGCATGTTACAGTCCCCTTATGAACCCTTGCTGGCTATCTTTGTTATTTAAGTTATTTCTGCATTATTTTTGTGTGGCCTTTAAGCACAAGACACTGAAAGTTCCGCAAACCCACCGCTTTATACAGATTTTCTTACTGAGTGGGAAAATAGATGTTTGATGATTTTTATGTTTTCATTTGTTTAAAAAAAACGGGCAGAAAAGAGGTGTGTAAAGATTTTCTGATATTTTTGATGAATTTTCTTCAGTGGTAATGTCATTTTCTATTATCCCATTCATGTAATTTCAATTTGCATTCAATACTCCTGACCTTGTGTTTTCTGTATATTGTAGTATTTAGACCTATCAATATAGGCGGGGTCTGATATGACCCCACACAGAAGTGTGCCGATTTACAGGTAGACCATATTGGTTACAACTAACCTATATCTATACTGAATGGCATAATAACATATACTCCTAAAAAGTACTCAGGTCAAGTTTCATACTGCTAAAGTAAAAACTGTACCGGAAACTATCGCTAAGTATCGCTAAGTAAGTAAGTAAAAATTCAAAACTTCATAATTTCAGTAAATATTGTAGAAATATGAAAATTTAAGAGGACCTGTACACTTTGCTGTTACTTTTACCACCTGTTCTTCAATACTAGAATTGATCTGATAGATGGAATAATAGTTAGGTTAAGTCAATATAAGATGGATACCCTACACAGAGTTAATAAAACATCATTCTCCATCACGTTTGAGCTAATATTCAGCTTTTCACTCGCTGCAACTATATAATGCTTGTTTTATATTGACTTTATTTCACTGTACTTTTTATTTAACTGGAATTTGTCATTAATGTTCTTTAATTGTCTAGTCGTATGAATTTGGTGTGATTTGAAAACAACTTTAATTTAATTTAATTTGATTTTAATACTTTGATGTGTTCTGGTAAATATATAAATGATAACAATATTCACATAAATTAATCTTCCTTTTGTTCAGCTGTTCAGAAAATTCATACAATTTGTAATCGAGCATGCACACATATCTGCCTACAGAAACATATGCCTCAGATCTGGCCTAATTTAAGTATAATCTGCATTTCAAGCTTGCTACTCTTAGAAAGATGTATCCTAGTATACCACCAGGTCGTAAACAGCTTTGTAGATAAATAGATCCTGGTGGTCTCCATGTAACCAGAAGGTTGTCCCAAAGCTGCTTGTTTACACAGGAAAAAGCAGTGAAAGGTATCACCATGTGCTTTTGTACAGATGAACCCCCTTCGATGCCTGCAATGCTGGATGGCTCGTGGTATCCCATAGAAAACTGAATGTACTAGTTTTGGGTGATATGCTGATTTGGGGAAAAAAAGATGAAGAAAAAAAGAAAGATATTTGTTTCAAATTTCAATATCATATTAAAAACATTTGCATACATCTAGATAACTTGTTTCTGTTCTTGATTTTATATCTGTAATGATAACATCCATGTCAGGAGTATGTGTAAACAGTTTCACAGAAATATGATATAAATTGTCTCCTTCATGGTCATTGCATTGTTTGTATACAAATTTGTATATAGTGACTTCTGATTTATTGCAGGGTGTAACCAGGAGTAGAAAATCTTCTCATAACACTTCTCCATTAGCCAGGTGAGTTATCCTAAAAACTTTTCTTTATTCCTTGTGAAATCAAATTTTTTTTTTTAACTCAGATTTTCAATCTTACTATTGCTGTAGGATAAACTAGCTGACCGTGATAAATACAGTAAATGTGAACATTTCTGCATTGATTTGTAGTACATTAGTGACAAATTTTGATGATGTGACTGAATTAAACATGTCAAGATGATGATCAAATCTAAATCAAAAGTTTGATGATTTCATTGGTTGAATGAACTACATGCTCACAATTTATAGTTCATGTGATTGGTAGGTTTATGTATGTATGCAACACATCAGAAAACGTTATCGAGAAGATGATGAAGTGATTTGCATTTTTTGTGGACTACTGACGCCATCCTTCTTTATTGCAGTCCATCTTCTGTTCGGTAGCAGAAAGACACTTTTGATTCGGACGTACAGCTATGATGTCATGAATGCTGGAGTTACCTCCCCTTGTCACTAAGACCACAGTCATTCATTATAGGTGGACATTTCATTGTTAAACAAGAAGATATTACATATAGTGTGTTGCTCCAGAGGATTTTAATGAGACAAGCTGTTGTAACAAATGCATTTGCATGAACTATAGATGGCAAATGAAGTTAGTCCACACAGAATAAGAAACTGTAACAGACATGAAAACTGTGTGATCTTCAGATTAAAGAGGGTGTTGCTTCTGTTGGACTCTGAACTTGTTTTTATAGGATATTTGTAACAATTTTATCCTAGAGATCTGTGACTGTGATGATATGCAAATCTTAATGATCTGGATCACCAAAATGTTTCTCCAAAGTGAACATTGTAAAGCATATAATATTGTTGGACAAAAAACAATGGAATAGACTGGTGATATCTTACCGATATAAACATGATATTGTCACGATTTTACAAGGTGCTATTTTTCTATGTATGGTGGGCCCCTGGCTTGGTACAGCTGCTGGTAGATGAGACCAGGTTTGCATTTACTTTGTATATATAGAAATGATAAGCAATGGCTGTAGAGGAGGCAAATGGCCACCTATGTATATTTTTAAACAATATGCAGAATGTCTGTTCTTATAAGATATTAATGTATTATCATATCTGTTAACATGCTGTGATTGTGTTGTGAATGTGTGTCACCTGTATTCAAAGTACATATAGATTCCATCTTAAACTGGATCATTCCCATTAGTGTTGAGGGGGAAGTGGGTTAAACCTGTTACCCCTCTTCTTAACAGTAGTTTGATCTAGGCAAATCCAACTGATGAAAAATAGTTTCTTTGCTTAAGTCATCGTCATTAACAAAAAATTAAGTAACAAATTGGGTATTAATGACTGGAACATAGATTTAAAATTGATGATATTGGTGTTACAATTTGTTTTTATTCAAACAAGAATTTTAGAAGTTTGACTACATGTTTATTTATCTCCTACCTCCAAAGTTACAATGTGTACTGTATCAGCATACAGATAATACTCAAAACATTGATGCTCTATACCTATCTTAAAAAATAAGCCCCTGCCAACAAATAAACCCTGTTCTTCATTTTTGCAGAATCATCAATTTTAAAATAGTATCGGTAAGCTGAATGTAGTTCCCAAGAAAGTCCTCCTCAAAATTAATAACCTTTTACACAAGGGGCTTGAGGATAAATATGGTAATGTCAGTTTAATTTTAAAATTTATCCCTGCAATTTCATTTATTATAAAACCTGTTAAATTGAAAAAATGCCAACCATGGAAATTTAGTGAACAGACTTAAGTAACATTTTGTTTTTAATGCTGTCAACATTCCATCACATCTACTTGTTCTGAACACTCCTGACTCACTACACTGGTAGTCTGAGCAGCTGATCTGATACTGTGGATTAAGGCATGAGAGAGACGAGAGTGATTATTCATATATAGATTTGTACAAATTCACTTGTTTGTGTGAACTGTGAGGTACAGCGAGTACCTGTGAATGAGCCTCTGGGGTTCACAGGGAATGACTAATATCTCGGTGTAAACCTCTCCTGGCCTCGAGTACAGCTGGGATGGCCAGTCGTTTTTCCCTATGTTATGTTATTTGTTTGCATGTTTGATTTTCCACAATAAGAGAAAAAGATTAATACATCTAGCAATACATACATGAGGCAGACTACACCTGTTCTCTCCGTCGTTATCATAATATATCTTTTTTCTGTATTTTCATTTGTCTTTAAAATTCTCATAAACATAAGATATTTAAAATTGCAAATATACTATTGAACAAAATCAATGAATGCTATTTTAATCATTTTGTAAATTCAGTTTTTGTTTTACATTATTTTTTCTTGCCTGCATTTTAAGTGCTTTTACAAATAAAGAGTCTGCTTATAATTATTAAAGTTCTCACTCGGGTATTTACTCTGCAATTCTGACTGCTTGTATGCATATACGGACTTTGGGAAGGGAATATATTTTCTGCAGCCCTTATAAATATCTTGACTGTAAAATTCAACTACCTGTAGAGGTGTCTTAAATGTTACAAGTAAAGTCATAGAATCAGAGTGTTCTGTGTTCAAATCATGTTTCAGCTGAAATTTTTAATCATTGTTCAGAATTATTGGATTAATAACTAAAATGGCAGTTTCATTCCTGTACTGTTTCACAAGTTTCTTTAACGGAAATAAGAAGTTTGTTAAAACGTTACTAATGGTAATAATAAGACTACATATTAAAGATTTGAAGTTTCACATCCTGATTATGGATACCAGTAATTGTAAAAAGAAGCTGCCAGAGACACCTTCTTTAAACATTTGTGTATGTTACCTTTACAGATCTGTAACAATGCCAATATTGAGGTGTTAAAACTAAACACACATGCATACTCCCAAGTCCAAAAGTGCATCTTATAAATAACTTTGCGGCATATAAACCATGTATATCTGTGATACACATATTTATACTATCTATATTTAAACCTACCAGCAGGCCAGTCTTCAAACACTGAATTTATTACTAAAATTTCTTAATTTTTCAAAGAAACCAAACAAACCTGACGTACAAATTGCACTTTCAAAATGGCTGCAAGTAGTTTTCTTTTACTGAACATTTTATGCTAAGAAAATCAGATTCTAGTTGACATTATTTTTCTGAAAGGAGATTTATTATTTGTGTAATGTTTAATTAAGGCAAAGGAATCTATCTACAATTTTTTTTTTCAAATTTTGAATATTATGCACTTAAACATTTGATTTAATTGGAGTAATTTAATCTGCTAAATTGTCAACATGTTAGTTTTATTGTCAAATTGTCTTTCAAGTCATTAATTCTTTTTAAATTACTTTGAAATGTTGTCATTATTTGCTGTTGTGCTGTTGTTGGGAGTCTTTTGAGTTTTATTTGGGAGGTCAATGTGAGCCTCGTATTATTTTCGGCCACTGATATCATGTCTGTTGGACATGTTTGAGAAGATAGGGAATTTTGTAAGAAATGAACTACATATCATGGTGGAATAAAATTGAGCGACTGTGAGCTGTTTAGAAGACTTTGTGTTTTTCTTTAGTAAGGCTACTTTTAATAGCCATGTTCTGTATTGAACAGGCAATAATTCCTCGCCTGGAGATAAGTCCACTCATGAATATATTTCTAATAAGTAAAGTTGAAATGAATACACTTGATCCATAATATCATTTCCTCACCTTTGCCTGAAAAGTTAATTTTAAAAGAATTCATAGAAGAAAAGAAAATAGAAATTGGGGGAGTTTTAATCATCATCATCAGAGGTGTCAGAGTATGGAATGAGACCACAAGCAGACAGGGTCTTTTCACCTGAAACATTTCCTTCACAGAAAGCACTACTACTTCTGTATACAAGGTGTCTTCTAGCCTGATCATTACTGTCACAGTGATCAGATCTTGATAAATCAGGTACAGAACCACTATTCACGGAATCACCTCCCTCTGGGGCCTCAGTAGAGCCAAATTTTAGTGGCTGATCATTTAGGTCAGTGTCAAATGTAGCATTGGTTATCACACATACTGGTTCATATCCATACATTGTTTGGTAGGAACTGTCGCTGTCAAGTATTGGAGTAGAGATAGGACAGAAATTTGACTTGTGTTCAGCAGTATGTAGTACTGTCTGATCAGTGGAGTCGATTCTATCAGTGGAGGTAATTAATCCATTAGAGATTGAATCTGTCACACTGTTGGCTTTAGGAATACTGCAATCTATACACTGTTGTTTATTCTGAATTTCATCACCTACAAAAACAAAAAAGGCACATTTCAATTATGATTTCACCATTTCAATTATTTGTCAATAATCTTACAGTATCATTTCACTTTCAAAACAAACATCATTAAATAAAATTGATTGTATGACTGTATAATCATACTTACTATCTCTTCCTGTTTTGCAGGGAGAGTCCCAATTTCAAACATTGATTATCAGAAAATTTTCATTTTTTCTAAAAGAGATCCCAGAGAAATCTTGGCACCCACAATAATCTTCATAATATAAAAAAAAAATGAATCTTTTCCATACATCTTTCCTATTATTTGTCCCTTATTTGATACATTAACAGGGGAATTAATAATCTGGATACATCAATACATGGGAAACCTACATATAGGACTTTAAAAAATACCCAGCACAGCTGAAAGGCCCAAGGAGAACTGAAAGATTCATTTTTATCAACTATCCATTAAGTACTACTTGAAGAAAAAGATCACAATACTAACTCTCTAAAATCAACATGCAGCTCTGTTTGGCCATTTTTTAGTGATCATTAAGAAAATTGATAGGGCATCAGACTTTATGTAATTAGCATAAGGTAAACCTTCAGATGAATTCAAGAAATATCATTCCAGTACTTCTGAAAAAATGTTGATAACAGACATTCATAGTCAATTCCAAGATGGCCACTGCTCAGCCATATTGTTTTTTCTGATCTATCTAAAAACTTAAAGGGTACAAGTGCGGATTAAAGGGAACCTACATAATTATGGAATTTGAGAGATTCATCTCATACTTTACAAGAAATAGTCATAACACACTTTCACTGTCAAATTCCTTACTGACAAGCTGTCAGTCATTTAGTTTTTTGGATCAGTCCCCAAATCAAAAGGGCACAACCAGGGACTAAGGAGAAAATGAAATTTCAGAAAGATTCATTCTGTACTTCTCAAGAAATAGTGATAACACAATTTTCTTTAGGACCAACAGCAGATGACCAGGTGGATTACGGAACAGGAGGATTTGAATAACTTACAATGTGATGATGGTGGGACGACAATCAAAATTGCTCACAATCCAAACAATATCTCTTATGAAAATTCTTAAACCTTGACAACCATATATTGTTTCCGTGAAATAGTATTTTACTGCAATAAATTGGCAATTTCTCTATCTTCAACATGTTTATATACTTTGTTGTGTTATGAGTTTCTTTTCTTTATAACATTATAGAAAGTAGTCTGAAAGTTTTCATCAAGGGCCTGATGCACAAAATAGAAAACTTCAGTCAATTTTAATTAAATAGAAACAAAGACAATATATTTTTCTTCACAATAACTAAACTATATATGATGTATGAGTCAACTAGTCTTTACTGTACAAATATACTACACATGTACATGTGTATTCATCAAATGAATCTATACCTTGCCAAAAACCTGACTATATTTATTGATTTTCAGTAATAATTACCAACAAATGCTATCACATCACATCCTGTAATGAGTGTTGACCCTTACTTTGTCAGAGGTGATTTGTTGGGTTTATCACAGGATAGATACTGTCCATATATTTACATTGGCTACTCCCTGTAATCATGTACCAGATATAGTACCTGTGTGGTGAGGATGACTGGCAGAGTGCTGGCGTTTCTTTGGGGCGTAATGACGGTCTGTCCAGGGTATGCTGCCAGTACTGGGGTCGAGCTGGCGTAACTTTCTGACAAAAGCCCAATATTGATGGCGTAGATAGTCTATCTTTTTGTTGCATTCTTGTATCTTACTTTCTGGGTAACAAGGCACCTGTGATTGCTGTATGTAATAAAGCTTTTATATTAGAGCACTGTACCTAAATATATGTAAGAACTCTTGGTTGTCATTTTCTAAACTGAGTTATTTCTCCTTTTCTTACATTAAAAATCAAGTTAAAGACATGTTAAAAAATAGTATTCCTTTTAAAGTAAATCAAGTTAAAGACATGTCAAAAAATAGTATTCCTTTTAAAGTAAATCAAGTTAAAGACATGTCAAAAAATAGTATTCCTTTTAAAGTAAATCAAGTTAAAGACATGTCAAAAAATAGTATTCCTTTTAAAGTATTATATGTATCAATTTTTTAACTCTGTTATTTAGAAAAGAAGTTCTAATAACGCAACCAGTAGAAGATTAGAGTGACATTTTGATGACTACATGGTCACCTTCATCTGACTAATGACTTATGTGGAGTGTATTAGTGCTGATGTACGTAGTTTATGAGAGGGTAAGGAATCTACCCACTTTTTCGGCTGTACTATAATCCTATGTACACTAAGGTAGAAAATAGTGTGATGAGATAGTAAACAGATTATAGACCAAAAAATACACAAGACATAACAATGTTTTGTAGTCAATTTGGCTCTCGTCACACTATTTTCAACCTTTGAGTACATACACTGTAATCTCCTACTGGTTGTGTAATAAGAGCTTCTATTCTATTGGCATTACCAACCGAAAGAAAATGTTCCAAAAAACTGATATTTATTTTAACTCTGTTCATTGATTAAAAAAGGAAGTAATAACAAGATTTTGAAAATTACAGTACTATACACATGTAAGAGACTTACTTTGAGGCAAAAATCGATATCTCTCTTTATACTAGGAATCCACTTCTTAATGGCATCACTTGAGTTTAAGTCCTCCTAGAGAAGTAGATAGAGAACATCAATTCATTCAAATCATAGACTCCAAATGAAGTTGTGTACTACATGTGTAAGTATCCAAATTAAGAACACTAACATGTATGTAAGATACAGAGAAATGTACAAATGTAACATAACTAGATATAAAACTACACTTTTTCCTCCTTAAAGTTTATAACTGGAATCATGAACTTCTGCATTTGTTGTGATACTTTAATCTTATGACCAATTTTCTCCTTGTGTTCAGTGGTCAATGTTTTAAGACGAATAGGAAACTTACAAGCCTTGGACGTTTGGGGTTCTTCTTTTCCTGTTCTACAAAATAAATCAAAACAAACACATAAAGTTTTATATAATTTAAGTACATTTGTCATAACATTTGCTCATATCCCAATTAAGCATCAATATTTATATTCTTCGGGAGGGAAAGGTAGGAGAGGGGAGGGGGACATTCTTATGGTAAAGCTAGCTAGCGCTCTAACCATTGGGCGTTATATCCGTGAAATATAGTTATTATACAACAAAAATAGCAGGAATCATCAATTTAAAAAAATGTTTCACAACATGAAAAACTATTTATTACATATCTTCTCGACATTGGTTTCGGACCGTTATGTATTTCGTAACAGCTATTTTGTTATCACACTAAAGAAAGAATTTATGCATTGATCTAAATAAAAAAATTGTGATTAAAGCTATTCATCATGAAATAATATGAGTATATATTTCATTGGCAAATTTGTGTATTTTTTCTTGATTCACATTTTTACATGTCAAACATCCTCCTACATATGGTGAAATAACATATCAATTCATCCTCAGATACCAATGTATCATTATCATCTGTCATGTGAATACAAATCGATCATGAATAAAAGGCCACACCTCACAATTTGACTCATTTCAGAAAAAAAGAATCAAATAATAAAAACTTGAATCTAAACCCTTAGAAAAAATGCACACATAAACACAGATATCAACAACTTTCACACCGTCAATGTATTTTGATTTGTAAAAGCACAGGGAAAATATGCATTCCTGTTGAGTGCCCCAACAAGGAATCGAACCCAGGTCTCTGGTGTCATAATCAACCGGCTCTACCAACTGAACCAAAGAAGCATGCTCTATCACCTGAGTGACACAGACTGTTTCAACACTATATTCACGCCACACCAACCCACTCCTATTACACTATTCCCCTGTTTCTCTTGAGATTTCCTAAATCTCAACCCGAGGCTCCAATTACCACAACTCCTTTGGATTTCATTGAGTGCCAAAGTGAAAGAACAGGAAAAACACACATTCCTGTCGAGTGCGCTGACCAGGAATCAAACTCGGGTCTCTGGCGTGATAATCGACTGTAACTAGACTGTAACATTGTATACAAGTCACATCAACCTCCTACTACTACAATTTTTATTTTCATCAAAATGTCATTCCCGTTCAAATGATGATATCAAGTAATACATGTGTACTTCTGGGTCACACTAAGCTGACTCAAGCGTCTCTGTGATCTAGTCATTCATCAGAAATGGAAGTGCAATCACATGTCTAATATACAAGTCGATCATTTCAGGCGAATTTGTGGTACAATCTGTGGATATGTTATAGAAAAATACTGGTATTTCACCGATCAGTTTTTTAAAAAATCTTATAGTATGGACACATTTCAAGTAAGTTATGTATTTCTTTGGTGGCTCTTCATTTACACAGAGTAGCTAGCTAAAATAATGCGTAAGGGGTCCGAAACTAATGCGCCAAGGATACAATTATGTATCCAGGTATCATTACGAGTATAATTGGACAGTGTTTCATTGTGTTATAAGAAATACATTGAGTATATAGAGTTAATTTGATAAGCTGTTACAATGAAATAGCTTTAAAAGCTGATACAAAATATTGTTTGTTCTTAAAAACCTTCTTTGTCTTGTTTTAGAAGTAGTCTGTTCAGTCTGCCAAGCTGTTTTTCTTCGTTCCGCGCCATCTTGGTATGTTGTTTTCGTATAAAATGTAAAAATGCATTATGTTTATCTAGGATAAAATTGTAGGATATTATAAGTACAAAAACCACTTGAAGAAATAGGTGTGCATTCCAACCATACTATTATAAATTACTGAAGAAGATGATAATATTTTTTTACGAAAATGAAGTAGAATTTACCTTCTCTCGGCTTTGTTCGTTTATGTGGCCAGACCGCTATATCTAGGACATCACATAGCTGTGAAACTCACACTAAACTGTAATAGAGGTTACCTATCTTATGACATTTAACGCAAAATACTGACCATACGATTGTCAGGTTTGTGTTTCTCGGTACATGTTTTGCATTCAATATTGGAGATAACTACATATGTAAAAGATTTCCAAGTCGGTAAAACTGTTTTAATTGCCATCGTTTTTCTTTCTTTTTTTTTTTAACCAAAAACAGAAAATGACGTCGCATGATATTGAATATTTCACGATATATTTCTATTCTGTTTCGTGCAAGATCATGTAAAATAATGGAACAATTAACCCTTTGATTGTTGGAGATGTGATATGTAATGTATATGTAATTTAAACATACTTTATTTCCCTTTGATAAACCCTGCCAGTTCTTTTAATTACGACCTTTTCAGAGCAAATTTAGGTGATACAGCTGAATGTACACGCGGCAACCAATGTGAAGACTTTTGTACTAAATTTGTATTTGTCCCCCATACACACAGACCCGAACTCTATAGATAAAGTCTTAATATCAAAGAGAATATCTAAATTTTAAAAAATAAGAAGACAGAACAAGCGATTTGATCAAATATGACTTTTTCTCTCTCTCTGTCTCTCCACATAAGATGTAATTTACTATAAATTGCATTATAACTTTTTCGGAATTGGATCAATCCTGACTTTCTTCCACTGGTCAAGAAGTTTATTTGTATTAGCCGAAATCAAATGCCTGTCGTGATCGTCAAAATCTCATCAACTTGGAGTCAAAACCGAGGAAACAATCGATCTTTTTCTCGAAAACAGCAGAAAAAAATCGGTTAAAGATCTTCCGGTCATAGGAAGTCTTTAGATTATTTGAAGAAATCCGTATATTTATTCCAAAATGATTGAATTATTGATATAGTTTCAAATGAACTAAACTTACATTGCTTGTTAAATCAATACCCGGAAATCACCGAAAGTTAATTACATTTCTCAATGACATGATGATCACGACCATTACACAGTACTATAGTCAGTCCAACACCGCCAGGCAAATCTCGGTCAGTCCAAGTAAGTAATGTCATGTTCCGAAATGAGAACAGGGTCAACAAACAAATGTGACATTGATTTACCTAAAATGACATTAACTAAAATTTGAAATTCAAAATAGGGACATCTGAAACGGTGCATTTATTATATAGTTTTGTAAGAAACCGTTTCTGTTGATCTTATCAAAGTAAATTCAAAATGTTCTTTCTCTCAAGGACTATCAAAGTTGTCAGTCAATTCCATACGTTTAAAGGTTTAGAAAGATCTTGACATATATTTTCCCATTTTTTATCAACCTAGAATTCAATTATTTTCATCATCAATTTTACATTCGTCATTTTTTTACACTTATCGTCTTCCTTTTTTCTTTCGAGCGAGGAACAAAATTAATAAGTAATAATAAGGATCGCATTATTCTGGGTTTTTTTTTTCATAACATGTCAATTTCTGCATTCACGTGCATGTATTATCAGGTTCGCGAGCTGCAGTGCTCACTGTCTGGCTCTATGATACGGCATAATAAGATTATGCTATAAAATTTGTAGCATAATTTTAACCCATTGCAATGTAAGTTAAAATATAATGTTTCAGTTGCCAAATTTTGAAAAGGTTAAAGAAAATGATAACAGCCAATTTTTGTTGCGCTAATTTGGTCTTCAAGTTTTTTTTTCTTTTTACTCTGCATACGTAACGGGAAATTTTCTGCCTAGACGTAAAATCTGTATCCGTTCGCTATCACGAAACCGATGTTTCTATGTACGCTCTTTAAGATAAGCCATGGTCTGAATGTGGTATGGCGTAACACCATTCTATTTAATGCTATCACATCTGACAAATGGAGGCTGAAAAACTGGTGTATATGAAACCTAGGCGTCTTCATATACTTTTGAGAAAAAGGTAAAATGAATGTTTGAAATTGTCCTCCAAATGCTCGACCTGTTTGACTTTTAGAGACTTTTTACAAATTTGTTGGATGGAATTTGAAATACTACTGACCTTCTTTTGAACTTCCGCCCTTATTGAGCTTCATTAACACCTTGTGATAATGTTATAAAAACTGTACCCTAACTGCCCTTGGTACCATTTATATGCATACCAAATACAACCCTTAAACACGACATGAACACGTTACGTCATTCCTTAACACGTTGTGTAACATATACAACCTTATAAGTTAAACATTCGTAAAGCTTCTATCACAATGTCAAATGTTACCTTTCTATATTGAAATTTGTCGACAAAGTTAGAATTAGGCAGTAGCATCTATTAAGCATAAATTACCTCCTATGATACCGCGGCTGTACAAGACAAGACAGCAACATCAGTTGCCCGTGATGATGGATGGGGCTGGGTAGACACTTTCTCAGCTTTCATAATTAACTTTCTCGCCTTCGGAATCCGCCTTTCTTCTGGAGTATTTTTTACCGAGTTCCTCGCGTATTTTGGGAGCAGTAGCGGGAAAACACAATAGCTTAGTTCTGTTGCTAACGGAATGTGTCCCATATTTGGTAAGTACATTAAACTGGAAGTGGAAACACATCATTAGATGGCTAATATTCAGCTCGTTTCCAGGTCAGAATAAAAGTACTTCCATGTTATAATCTCATGGAATCAAAGATGATCAGTATGTTTATATGTACATAACTTCATTGGCTTGATTTAACGACTGACTGAGTTTCTCTCGCCTTACCGATGAAACTAACCCAGTCTATAGAAACAATTATGATTATTTTATCAAAAATGATAAAAAATTCGAATAGTGGTCTTCAAACTTATTATCTTTTTTAAGAATACCAAAATAATTTGTATTATGTATTATGAATGTGTTGTAATATTTTTTTTCTGTACATATACTCAAGAAAAATAGAGAAGTTGATATGTTTTCTTGACGAATACCTGTAAATTAATGAAACAAACGTTATCCCAGGATTTCGAGTTAGAGGAAGGGTGGGGGCACAGTTTTAAGATCAAAAAAATCTTTCATGGGCACGAAATCAATTTTCCGCGAACATTTCCAGCTTTACGGAATTCTTTAACCTGCAACCGTCGGTTCCCAAGTCATACCCATAGAATTTAAATCTTGTGGAAAAAACATTCTGACATTGAAATTAGATACAATTCCCTCCAATAGATAATCTTGTATAAAGGTAAGCTATTGTTCTCACCAAGTAATATATTAGGAATACCATATGATATTTGTTGTTGTTTTTATACCGCATTTTGTCCTAAGGTGCTAAAGTCGGTAGTGGATCTACTATATATTTTACTTCCTGTACGTTGTAAATATCTTGAACATTTTGTAACGAAATGTAAGCTCCGTCACTTTGGAGGGATTATCAAAACTAGTTCTGAAAGAAGATGTTTGGTGTTATTAAAACTTTTACTGAGGAATTACAATTTATTAGTATACTTGATGACTGTAACGTGTTGTTTCAATTGGAAGATTTTTAAATCCAATATCATTGATGAAGTGGACTTGTGCTAGAAACTATTTTAAAATATGGAATGGGTTGTTTTTAGGACCTGTTTCCGGGATGGAAGTAAACAAGTTCAATTGTCGTCGTGTCGGGACGTTTGGAGCGATATTGTCCAGTCTGGGCCTATTCCTTTCTACATTTTCCCCAAGTCTTGACGTGATGATTCTGCTGTATGACGTCACTATGGGTATGTAAAAAAAAGAAGAATATATTTGAAATGTTTATACTGAGATATTTTAACCGGAAGATGATCATACGTTAAAAAGAATTTCCTATATAAATATGCGAAACATAGCTGAAAATATCTATTATTAGAAGGAATCACTGACGGGACCATCACTGATGCACTAATATGTACTGTTTTTACTGCTAGTTTATTTATTTCTACAGTTTGTCTCTCCGTCTTTTGCATGTCTACCGAGTGCTTCTATGACTTGGGAATATAATTGGTAGCTGCTATAGTTTGATTACCTAGATGGAGAAAAAGACCAGGTGTTCCAGAAGAATAAGCGTCTTCTGCTTCATTTACGACACTTCGTCAATCCAAGTAGGTAATGTCACGTTCTCAAAAGAGACCAAGGTATACAACAACGGAACCAACCGGAAAATTCACGAGCATGAAACCCGACCAGCTTCATATCACACAAAGAAATAGAATATTTTTCAATGAGATAAATATGCTGACCGTAAAACTCCCCCATAGGTTTTATCAAATTTGAAACCCTTTGTTACGAGTTTGTATTTCAGATGACGACTTCTTGCAAAACCGTGATGATAGGAGCAGGTTCTTCAATATTGAATCATCTGCTACATGTAAATACCACTATCTTATGGTCTTATTTACGACATGTGGCACTGCTATCGTGATGGAGATAAATAGACAAGAGAGACACTCTATTACCCTCGGATTTCTCTACTGTTGGACTGGGTTGGTTTCGTTTTTTGGATCCCCGTTGGTAATTTAAATATTTCCACGGTGCCGTTTAAGATTAACTAAACAATCGTCGATAAGAATGATATATATTATAATCTTTAAGATCAAATGTTATATTCACAGTTTAAAATAGTTTAATGAAATATTCACACATAAAGGTTTACACGCTAACTAACTTTTCAACCCTTTCGAGAAATAGCTCTAAATTATAGATTTAAACTTAAAATAAACGTACTACCGATATCGTTTAAAGACGTCGTTCATGAAACAATTTTTATCGAACTTCTGTTTCAGGATTAAAGGGAGACAATGATATTCCATTCTACCTCTCAGGGGCTACCATTGGAGTTGGCGGATTGTTAGGTTTCCTACTGAGAAATATTATGAGGTGGAAATCCAAACACCGCCTAAACACGAAGTATAAATCTAGCATAGAGAACAAGGGAGATAATTATACAAACTCTTCCTTTACAGTTAGCACCTACATGTACAGTTCATAATCCAAAAAAAAAAAAAAAAAAAAAGCGAACGGTATGAATTTATGTAATGGCAATGTATCGCAGATATACGAAATATATAAAAAATAATTTGAAATTCAAGTCTGGTTTAAAAACAACCTTTTGTTTGTTATTGTTAACATTTATCAGCTGTTAGAAGATTATACAAAAGACACACATGTGAATAACACATTTTAATAATGAAGAGTTAGATACGGTAGAGCCAAACAATGAATTAAACTGCATCATTCAGCTGTTTCGTCCTTCTAGGTTGTACAGGAGACACACAAGTGAATAGCACCTTTTCATAAGTTAAAGTGAGATACGGTAGAGCCAAACAATGAATTAAACTACATCATTCAGCTGTTTTGTCCTGCTAGGACTCGTCAGTGATGTTAAGGGCCTAAGTTTCGAAGCATGGTGTGCGACTATAAAAAAACCAAAGTAATCGAAAGAAAAGTGAAAATGTGAACAGGGAAGTGCAGCACTATAATTAAATAAATTTCGTTATTTTCACATCAACGACCTCTTGAGTTGAATTAAATAAACTCTTCCAAACATGTTTACAATAGGAAATAGAACTATTATATGATTTGGCTATATCGTACAATGTATGTAAAGATGACCTCTCCATGTGTATGATATAAATTTGGTAATTTTCACCAAACGCTCTTACTGACCTTGAATTAAGAAATTCTTCACATGTTTACAATAGGAAATAGAACTATTATATGATTTGGCTATATCCCCAATGGATGGCTATTTCCATGTTTTAATATACACAGCACTTCTTAATGGTGACAAACGCTGCTTGTTGTACCTTGTTAAGAAATTCATCAGATTAGATAGCACTTCTTAATGGCAATGCTAAGTTGTACAAGTCAAACGGCATTAGATTAGATAACACTTCATAATGGCAATGCAAATTTGTACAAGTCAATCGACATTAAATTAGATAACACTTCATAATGGCAATGCAAAGTTGTACAAGTCAATTGGCATTAGATTAGATAACACTTCATAATGACAATGCTAAGTTGTACAAGTCAAACGGCATTAGATTAGATAGCACTTCTTAATGGCAACGCTAAGTTGTACAAGTCAATTGGCATTAGATTAGATAACACTTTATAATGACAATGCTAAGTTGTACAAGTCAATCGACATTATGTAGAAACTATATGTATTTATTTATATGTATATTTATTCGTAACAGGAGAAATTTTAAGACACATTTGTCAAAGTGGTTTAGCAGGCTGATATAAAAACGCACATCTTTAAAACGAAAATGATTTTTTAAGACAAAGTCCCACCCTCTCGTTCTACGTTAAAATAAACATATAGCATATCTAGTGTAATGTAATTTGATGTTCATAATTTGAAAATGATTTTTATCAAAGCCTAGGATGACATCTTTCTACGGATGCATTGTTTAAATAATCACCTCGTTTGTGAATCGTGTAGCTGTATGAACATTGACAGGCTGGGTGATTTTTTCTCCTTTCTTAGCTTTTTACTTTTTAATGTCTACAAGAGACAACCATCATTTATGCATGACAGCTTAGCTTAAACTGTATATATTAGTTAGTCTCCAGTCCATAAAAGCTCACGTATTCTTTTCATATTTCTCACACATGGGTTACACCTTTGTACAATAAGTGACGAAAAAATCTGAAAAAGTGATCGGGCTGTTAGGTTATTCATATTCCAAGTTATTATATACAATAAATACCTACAACTTTATTTTATAATGCATTCCGTATCAAGATTTTTAATGAACCGATACTTTGTGCACAATTTACACAAGAATACTCCATTCTACAGTCATACTTTATACAGAATGACGATATCACCCGACCAGCAACATATATATACTGAAGAGCAAAAGTAAGTATACATTGGAGTTTAGGATAAAATCGGTCTAAGGCAGAAATGTCAAACTAATACATATTATGTATCTTTGGAAACTTCATTTTATTAGTTAATCATACTCTATGAAGCGTTAAGTTACGTTCGGTACACTGACGTCAGTTACTTGACAATGTGGTGAGAGGTCATTGATGTAAACGTCCAATACAAAGTCTATTCAATATCGCTTATGTGACCAGCATTTACGTTACTCACAGCGCTGATTCTTCTCCTCATGAACCTGGTATGCCGTAGGATAGTGTTCATAGGAATGATTCGCCATTCCTCGTGGACAGCCTGCTCAAGTTCTGCCAAAGTTGTTGGTGGATTTTGGTGTCGACGTACACGGCGGTTTAAGGAATCCCAGATGTACTCTATCGGATTTAAATCCGGGGATTTTGATGGCCCCGGCAACACATTAATGTTATTGGTCCTCAGGAAGTTTTCTGTTGGCCGCGCAGTGTGCAGGGTGGCGTTGTCATGCATTAACGTCAAATCTGAGTCATGACGTCTGAAATATGGTAAAACCTCTCTGTCCAGTACCTCAGCGCAGTACCTCGCTGCAGTAAGATTCCCCGGAATCGTGGTCAGATCTGTTTTATCATTATGTTTGATTCCTCCCCACACCATAACACTTACCCCTCCCCAACGGTCGAACTGTTGTACACAGTTATCGTGAAAATGTTCTCCACGACGTCGCCATACTCTACAGCGTCCATCGCTCATGACGAGACAAAATCTCGATTCATCTGTAAAAACTAAACGATTCCAGACACGTTGGTGTTGAAATTGACGTTGGCGAGTCCACTGAATACGTTGGCGTCGATAACGTTGTGACAGAACCAAACCTTTATTTAGCCGCCGAGCTTTCAACAAAAAAAGATTTCAGTCGTCTTCGAATTGTCCGTGGACTGACACGATTTCCGAAAATAACGATCCCTGAGATGCAGATGTACTTGTCCTCTCTTTTGTTGTTCCGTGAATCCTATACTTTCTCCACAATTTAACGATTGTCAGTCGTGTCACGTTGAACGTTCGGGCAAAGTCAGTTTGTCTGACTAGGAGCATTCCAACTGCCCTGCCTCTTTGTTCCTTTGTAAGTTGTGGCATATCTGTATTTGTCAATTATCAATGTCGAATTGCCGGATTACGTACCTAGTACAGATGTAAGTGCAGGTAACACGACACACACCGATAGCGTGCACTGCACGTGCAAAGTTAGGAAAACAGCAACATTCGGTTAGACGTTTTTACGCTTGGATGGTTTTTCGTTTGTTTTCATTTCAGAATATGATTTTGTGTCGAGATATCATGTTCACAAATTATACCGATCTTTCTCTTAATTTTAAAAAGAAATATGTTTTTCGCATGTATAATTACGTTTGCATCTCAGTATATAAGACCATGCAGCAGGAAATTGGTAAGTAGGCTACTTACACGGTAAAGACGGTAAATGGTTAATGAGGGATTCTTGCATTTTCAATTACAGTAAAACCCCGCTAAGTCGAACTCCTCGGGCCTGTGTCAATAGTTCGAGGAATACAGGGTATTCGAGTAATCAGAGGTTGGTCAAACTGTAGATCGTGTGTGAGCTATAGTCTGTACCGCGATGGTACGTCTCTGGTCATAGTAAGAAGTCATCGATCGACAGTTGACCTGACATGCCGGCCTTTGCTCTCCAGGTACCACCGCAGAGTCTGGAACGCCTCTAGTGCCTACGTCATCATGTGAAGAGGTCTAACGTCATCCACGCCTTCTTGTTCGATGTGTATTCGGTCGGTAGAGTGTGGATGTTCTTAAAGCATCGAGGCTTCGCGGACTTCTCTGTTCCATCCATATTGGCGCAGACCACAGTCAAGTGTGACACAGGGGGATTACATGTTCGACGAAAACATGGGAATATACTATGGTAATATTAGGGAACGGGGATAAATATGAGTTCGACGAAAAGGGGGTATTCGATGAATAGCGGTTCGAGGAATCCGGGGTTTTATAACATAGAATATATAAGGAAACGGCAGAGACCGAGCGGGCAGTTCAATGAATACGGGGCATTCGAGGAATGCGGGTTCGAGTAAGTGGGGTTTTACTGTACTATGACAAGGTCTTTACAAACATGTAACATGTAATTCCGTGCTTGATTCATACCGTATCATTATTTAAATAATTTTTCATGTTCTTGACCGGATATGTTATGATAACTTCTGTTTAATAATATTAGTATTAAATTACTGCATTATATTTGCCCTATAAGCTTACATTTGTTTATTAACAGGGTGATGCCGCCATTGGAATATTAATTTGTTACATTTATTCACATGCTTATAATTTGTCATTAATATAAAGCCACATTCAAATGTCCAATATCTCATTGCTAATGCTGATGTAACAACCTCAATTTAAAGAATATTCCAAAGCAGAATTTTCTCCTTATATCACGTGTGTATATCAGATTTACTGTATTTATAACCTGTGCGGATGATGACATTGCCATATTAAAAGTTATAATATGTCTTATTCAAGAAAGTATACAGTTGTTTTAATAACTTTGATATGGATGCTATCATTACATTTTTTTTTTCAGATTTGCAGAGAGTGATTCAAGTCAGTAACATTGCCCTTATACAACGTGTTTTAATTCTAAATAAAATAAACGTTTAGATATATGCAGCTTTAAACACGACCATATTGATGATTGAAGCTGACATTGTAACTTCATGTCCCAAGGATCACGTCAACCAGTCATACACAAGAAACAATGTCCGTACCCCCTGATGGTGGATGGGGCTGGGTTGTTGCATTCTCGGCCCTTATCCTCAACTTTCTCATCGATGGAATTTGTTTCTCCTTCGGAGTGTTCTTCCCGGATTTTCTGAGCTATTTCGGAGGCAGTAACGGAAAAACACAACTGATTAGTTCAGTTGTAAATGGAACTACTTTTCTTCTAGGTAAATTACCAACATATCAACATAATCATAATCCAAACTCAAATTTGATAAAACTAACGCACTATTTAATCAGTACAGAGTAAGTGTCTTCTACTTCATCGGCGAGAACATGTTTACCTTGGTCAGACAACGTATCTAATGTCGCGTGCTCAAACGAGAACAAGGTATACAACAGCGGAACCAACAGCCAAACTAAAGAGCATCAAATAATCTGGTTTCATATCGCGCAAAGAAATAGAATATTTCTCAATGATATCACTATGACGACCGTAAAACTTCATTATAATTTTCATCAACCGGCATCATTTGAAACCATGTGTTACGCATTTGTACGTCAGCTGACGACCTCTTGCACAGTCGTGACATTTTTGGAACTAACCCTTGAATGCTGAATCAACTGCGACATGTAAATGTAACAGAGGTCATTTTTCATCTGAGTGCCTCCTCTTGGAATCAAACCCGGGACACCTGAGCCCAATTGAGCTAAAGAGAACTTCTCTTTAGCTCGTTTGGTTGAGCGTCAGACTAGTAATTAGCCAGGGTTCCCGGGTTCGATTCCTAGCGGAGGCATTGCGACGAAAAATTACCTCTGTTACAAAAACACCATAGGGTGGGGATGCAGGAGTGTGTCTATCCAGAAATGAATAATTCACAATAGGGAAATTGAAATCATCAGGTTTATCATACAGATTGGTGGAAAGGTGTCCATGTTTGTTTCGTTGTAAAAAAGATAGAGATAAACAGAATTCCACCAAGTCAAGACACGAGTAGATTTGGTTTTCTATTAGCATGTTGTCTGGTTAAAGACTCTTGAACCTTCGTCACTTTCTGTAAACGAAAACGATATTTAGCAAGAATGATATTGCTTATGGTATTGTATGCGTATAATAGAATATGATTAAATTTAGTCTGTTTAGATGTTTAAATTGATACAAAAACCATCGGAATGAAGCATGAAGCAAGCAATAAAAACTGACTGATATATATGTAGTCAAAAAGACTCTGCCTGTTTCAATTACATACTTAATGTATTTATTTAGATAGAAAGAATAAAACCTTTGTATAATTCTCTCCATTGATTAGGTCCCTTTGCTGGGGCTGCAATAAAGAAGTCCAACTGTCGTAACGTCGCGATATTTGGAACGATATTGTCCAGTGTTGGACTGTTCCTGTCAACGTTCTCACCAGATCTCGACGTCATGATTCTGTTATACGGAGTAGTTGTAGGTATGTAATTACCAGTCATTTAAACAATTTTAGAGTCTTGTTCTATACTTGTTATTTCAACGTGATGTTAATTAAGTTTGGTTATTGAGTGACTTTGGTTGATCATAGTTTCGTTATAAAAGAAAACTTGATTATAACGAATTCCATGGGACCAGAGGAAATGATTCGTTATATCCGAAATTCGTTACAAGATTTTCGAGATATTCTGAATAACAGAGGGCTGGGGTCCGAGAGGGACATAAATAGCTTCCAAAACAATAGTGAACACAGTTGATCGTGCCAACTATAAAGACTTAACTTTGAAATCACTCAAGCGTGTAATTTTTATTAAAGATCGATTATGGACAACTGCATTTAAGTGTCTCAGAATTAGAAATGATAAACATGTCACATTTACATATCTATCAAAGTACCCTTGTTCGGCCATAACTTTCACTTTTAAAGCGAGGCGATAACACTTTCGGACTATTATTTATTTCGTTAAAGTCGGAAATTCGTATAATTTCTGTCAGCTTGAGAAAGTTTATAATTTTAATGTATTTGTAGGCGTGGGATTCGGGCTGGTGTTTACTCCCTCCATTGTCATTATCAGTTATTACTTTGATAAACGCCGAGCATTCGCCACTGGGCTAGCGGTGTGTGGGTCGGGGATAGGAGCCTTCGCTGTTCCCCCGTTATCTGTGGTACTTGTTGAGACATACGGCTGGAAAGGAGCCACGTGGCTTTTATCAGGAATTCTTCTCAATGGTGTTGTCTTTTCGTCCTTTTTCCGTCCGCATGGATCGCATTGTAAAGAAGATAGTGACAGCCAAAGCGATTTGAAAGAGAACCCGAGAAGGAAGACCATATGCAATATCATCACTGATTTATTAGGCTGCCCTGTTCTTACAAGTCCTACTTTTATCTTATTCTCAGGATCGTGTTTTCTGGTTTCTATCGGTAAGTTTTGCACAATTATTCCTAAACAAGAAGAATATATCTCAAACTTACCAAATCATATATATACATACGACATGAAAGCAGCAATTGAAATGGTAAGTGTAAATAATGAGCTACTTCAGGTTTTCTAGATATGCGATATTGAACATGTAAATGATTCTGTTACAGGGTTTTTCATTCCTTTCAATTTTCTTCCAATATTTGCTCATGACTCAAAGATGTCAGCCAGTGAGGGAGCCCTTCTTATATCTTTAATTGGCATCTCCAACACTGTGTCGAAGGTTTTGATTGGTAAAGTGTCCGACCAATCATGGGCGGACTGTATACTCATCAATAGTGTGGTGCTTGTGATTGGTGGAGTGGTCACTTGTTTTGTGCCATATTTTCGTATCTTCAGTATCTTGGCTGCCTACTCTATTACCTTTGGGGTAGTTACAGGTATGTTTGGTGAAACATGTAATTTTCATATTTATCTTTTTTATCTTGTGGTGTAAGGAGAGTGCAAATGATAACATAAAGGTACTATTTCGAAAGACCCTTTGTCATACCTTAAACCACATAGCTGCTTTAGTTGAACGCTCATAACTTGTAATTGATATAAAACCACATTCAAATATAAAAAAGCTAATAACTCACTGATATGGATATATATTTACCAAATAAAAGACAATTAGTTAAAATATGGATAGATATTTTAATTGCAATTGGGTTTTGGTGGTCTTGGCTTCAAGACGAAAAAAGATTAACTCTGGGAACAGAAGTTCACCTTATTAAGCATTCAAGTTTTAAAATGTGTTAGGTGTCAGTTTTCACCAAAAGGAAGAGAAACATGTTTACTAGCAGTTAAAAAGTAATGCAAGGCCTTCTGTAACCTACCACAAAGAAAACCTCATTTTATAGAACGTTCAAATCAACACCACTTCCTAAGATGATTTGATTTTATTCGAGAGTTAAATGGCATCGAAAAACGGGAGTCAGAATATTTAGTTAATCTGGACATTTGTACAAGCATTTTCTTCACAATAAGTGATTGAGTTATGTCTACTCTTAAGTTTACATTGGTAACTGGAAACTGCAAAGATTTCGCTGTTTGATGTTCAATGAATTCAGTTAAATGCTGTAGAGTGAGAGGCCAGACAACCTCATAATTAAAATTCTGCTGAAGGTATTGAAGCTCTTCACGCCCATATCGTAAACTTGTTTGGTATTTGTATCCGGTGAAGATGAATTCAGGAAAGAATTTGCAGAAAAATCTGTGTTATCTATGAAGGTGTCGAGGCTGCTCTTGGTATAACAGCCCGTATCGTTGCCATTGCTGACGAAAGATGGCATCAGCAATACAACTAACCTTTCTTTCAATATGCAATGCCTTAGACTGAATATTGAGAAGCATGAACTTCAAGAGATAGGATCTCAACAGATGCATAACTCCGACATTTCTAGATGATTTCTTGTTAATGACTAGAGCTTTGCTATCTATGTATTCTTATAGCTAATTCTGAACTACTATTAAAGGTCATCATGACTGGAACCAGTTAAAGAAAGATTATGTCTGATATAATTCCACACTCTCTCCAGCTACCCAGCCTTGCTTTGGAATAAATGCAAATTCCCCCAGGAAGCAAGCACTACAACCATTGACCCTTATGCTAGTACCCTCTATCATCTACACTTTACCCTCTGACCTATACCCTATACCCACTACACTTTACCCTCTAACTTATACCCTATACCCACTACACTTTACCATTTACCCCCTACCCAATTTTCTCTCCCTAAAATACAGCATATTTAAGCATTTACAGGTCCAGACGGTCTGTTACGATCCACTTTATCCGTCGTGCATCTATACATTTTTTTTACATTTGCGACTATTTCTATAAAAAAACACTGAACCCGTTTCAATGCTGAATTTATCCATATCCCACCCTCTACCCTCTACCTTACCCAAAATACAGTATCTTGATGTCATGCCATGATGTACAGTTTACTGTTATCTCTTGCCATTTTTAAGCGGATTGCTCATCATATTCTTGTCAACTCGAGCCTTCAACCCCTTCACTTCTAAACGTACAATGTGCATATATTTTAACAAAGATGGAGTACAGACGGGATGAGCTGGTATATAAGCAGACATATAGCAATTAAATGCATCAATCCACTGCTCAGTGTCCATGATTTTGAAATGTAAATAGCTATCATCCTCATTGAAGGTCTTTCCCGTTCTTTTGCTAACAGCACATCCAAGTTTACGTATTAGTCATTGATATGTATTTATTTGACGATTTGTATCGGAAATATTTTTACAAGGTCAGTGGAAAGCTGTTTAGCTGATACTCACCAGGAGAAAATTCATCAACATAACTTAAGAATGTATTCCTTTAATATTTGTCCGTAAGTAACACATCATTCACTATGAAATTTATTCCAACTTCATACCTTTGTCTTTTGTGTTCTTACTTCGTTACCTAAAGTTGTTCTTACAACCTTAAAAGGTGCGATTCTCATGACGTTTAGATAAAATTTCACATGTTGACTACCATTAGTTAATGGTGTGATTCTGATTAAAGTGTCAACGATTTCAACATTTACTGGTAGAAAAGGTTCTTCTCCTAAGTATAACTGTAGAAGTCTTGGATACATTTCAGCTTAATTCCGCATGAATTGTCACTACTAACTACAGATTTCAAATTCAAGAATTCTTTCTTGGTGGACAACTTCCGCAGATTTTAAGAACCCGAGAGCAAATATTTCAGCTTGTCTTTTGATCTCGAAAAAACAACTGGCAATTTATAATCAAAATTTGCAATAAATGAATTAGATGTTTAATCATGTAAATTACCCTAGACCTAGAACATTTTTCTATCCAAACATAAACACAAAAAAATATGCTTAATACTAGATGGTCAAATAAACGGATTTAATACTTGAATGATTGAATTCGAATATATCACCAGCAGCTATAAAAATAATAGAGATTGCACACTTTGATACGAAGTCAAGTTCAGGAATAACCTTTAAAGTTATAAGTATCAATTCTGTGTAAGTCAGTTCTATCTAATGGTCATAAAACATCGCAATACTGATTTTTATTCCAGGAACATTTTCAACACTGAACGCAGTCATTACGGTGGAGTTAAAGGGTATGGAGAATCTCCCGAATGCCTTTGGTCTCCTCAACTTATGGATTGGTATAGCGATGTTATTTGGATCTCCTATAGCAGGTTAAATCTCATTCTAACGTTGAATGTTAATAACCATCTACTCTTTGTAACAACATATTGATACCTTCAATGAAATGTCCAGACAGAAATAGTCGATAATCACCTGAAGTTCTGTAAACAAGACCGATGAATCACAATCATCGTGTTATTAGTGTTTTAATACAAATCGGATACCACGGGTGGTCAACATTTTGTGTATTTAGAAATGTGGGATAGGGTTTATTAATTTCCTGACTATATATAACTGTATATAAGCACATTTAAGTGAATCTCCTCATTACGTCATATCTAATAGCGACAGACGAAATAGTTTTCTACACGCGAAAACGTGTTCTATTTTCTCATGCCACACGTGCACAGCCTTAGCTTACAGACTCAAATTACACATACACTATATCTGTAGACATTATGTGGACGTTTCTTTTTGTCTCAGCAGTGAATCATTTCTAAAATCTTGTACTGTCAGATTTTAGGAACATTTCTTATGTATTACTCTCCTTTTTCGTTTTATAAAGAAATATGTATGTTGTATTTGTAACACCTGAGACCTAGTCAGTACAGACTTGTCACGTGTATAGATACATATCAACTTGATTTATTTTTCAACAATTGCGAAACAAGCCATTCCAACTTATTCTTATCACTCTTGTTGGCCCGAATGTAAGCGCGCTAGGCGTCTTATTGTGGGAGGAAATTGAAGTGTCCGGGGAAAACCCACGTTTTGTCACTTACATACCCGTATACATCTACTTGTTGTCCGGGGCTCACCACTCGTCATTCTCTGATGTTTAAGATTTATGCATTAGATATACTGATTAAGACAGGGTCGGGTTGTATTTCGATAAATCTAAAAATAAAATGACCTTTATAATCACGTATATTCACTACGTGCAAAACACACATGGTTGATGTTTAGTCATAACTACACGTATTTCTAGTTAAATTATCAGTAAATGGAGACTTGAATTTATAGCCACAGAAACAAAGAGTACATTTCCAGTTTCACAAGTTCAATATTGTGTATGTTACCATTCGCAACGATGTATGCCACACATCTACGACATATTGGAATATTCTTCTTAACTGACCATCTACCTGGGTCCTGTCCTGAGTCCTGACCAATGATCTACTCTTAATTAGATAGGGAACAATCAGTGTTCATCTGTGTCCCAAGAGTAGCGGTCAGCGAGGATTAACTTGAATTGGGTGACACTAATTAGATAATTAGGATGTGTACTCATTTAGCTAGGCCTTGATGATGTGGCCAGGTGGCCTGCCTTACGAATTTGACAAATGTAGCAAAGTTATTTAAGATCTACCTAGTAGAATCTCTAAAATCGGGAGATTATCCTAATTTTGATCCAGATGGCGGGACTGGGGAGTGAAAATCGGGAAAGTTGTCAAGTTTGTCTTCTAAGTATGTAATAAAAAAATTAACAAGTTACTTTTCCGTACTGTCGTTATTACTTCATTGATCGTATATCCATTCCATTAATATGCATCCAACGAACGTTTGATTGTATGGATCCAGAACCAATATTGTCCATACCGTCGATATTACATACTAGACTCTATATTCTGTATATATGTTATATCTACAATGTACAATCTACAATTATGGATGTAAATTCTATCATTAGTAACAACATGATATTCATGTTTCTAGGCTCGCTGTCAGATATCACAGGAGACTACAGTGTCACTTTCTACTACTGTGGAGCTGCCGTAGGACTAGGCGGCTTGCTGTGTCTTCTCCTGAGGAAGGTAATGAGATGGGAACACAGCAGATACCAGAACGCTAGTGTAACGTGTGGACATAACTCTACCGACATTTGTATGGAATCTACCGTTACCATTGATACTTATATGTAGATATATATATATTTTGTAAGCAATATCGAATAACACAATCTTAAACGTTATCATCGTCCAATTTTCCATGCTCGTACAATCTTCACGTGGTCAGCTTAGACACTGCATGTGGATTTTTATTACCCGAGGTTTGCCGTTACCTGTATTTTGCTAACGAATTCAAGTAATGACATAGTTCAGAATGTACACAGGTACAGGTACGATGTTTTTTTTTTTTTAGAAATGATCAGATATATGATGAGTATGACTTTTATTGAACTATAGAGTACCTCTTCATAACATTTTTGACATTTTATTTTTATCATGTTTGATTTCCTGTGTCGCGTTCTTCACATCAAAATGTAGTCCCTTAGCATCAATGACGAGATCATCATATATTTGACTCAACGATATCCGTTTCCATTCCTTTCGAGTTGTTTCGTATCTTGTTTCATTACACATTACAAATGTTAGAGTGTATATACCTAAATTTTATACCAAAGAAATACATGACTGTGGAATAATGACAAGACTTTGTTGTAATTTCTGATACACTTAATTATTCACTAATAAAAAAACATATCTTTATCTGTTTTTTTTTTGGTGAGTAAGGATATTTTCGCTTATGAAATATACCATCAGTGAAAGGTTTTCGTTTTTCATTATAGCCTTATCATTTTTTTCTATTTATGTATAGAAAGTAAAAATGATTGAAGAAAGGGTACCATATCTAACAGCATCATTTAACCAAACGTTTCTGTTTTAAGACACTCCGACATGAAAACAAAAAAACAAAAAAAAACAAAACAAGAAATCTTTTTTCTTTTTTTTTACTCTCAGTCTGATTTTATTTACTCCCTACGATCCATGAGCTATCACGGCAGGAACATGAGTGATCTCCCTTCCTCCTACCTTTATGGCTGCCGACGAGTGCGGAGGTGTCTGAGCTGAGTGCTTTTCTTACTCCTTCTCTTCGTACTGCTATTGTTGTCTGAGTATATTGTTACTCTATTAGTTGTCTATAAACCCATCTCCCAACTTATATTGTGAAATTAAGTATTGTCATTTATTTAGTTTGACCGTTTTTCCGGCCGCGTTTTCCTCCACGTGTTCGAGTGCGCGACCACGTGTCTCGTCACTCGGATTTTCGTGAAGTTGGAATTTGTTTTCTTGCTGCATCGTCGGCCGTTTTGTACGACCGTTTCTATTTTGCAGCGCAGTCTTTGTACTCTCGTTCGTAGATTTTTATTGTTAGAAAACTTCGTTGTCCTTGTTTTTTATTGTTACGATTTTTATTGACGATGGATAGTGCCAGGTTACGTCGGGGGTCAGATTCGTCCTCTTCTTCCGGTAAGGGAAGTAAGCTTTTTAAGCCCCCCCCCCCGCCTCCGGTTCTGAACCAGTAGGTGTTTTAGGCGTTCCTGCCGGGGGTGTTCTCGTCTCGTCGCGCTCCGCCCTCGAACAGGTGGTGGTCCCCCCTGTCCAGGCGCGCTGTGTTATGGGTAGGGACTTCCGACCGCCGGTCACTGTATCGTTCAGTGATCCCGGCGTGGCAGGTGGTGTTTGTTGGAAGGGGCCGCCTTGACTCCGGACCTGTATTTTCGAGTGCTGGTTCTGGGGCCACAGGTTTCTTTTCAGGGTTGTCTGTGGCTACGGGGATTAGTGCGGGGTCTGTCTTCCCGCCTCATAGGTTGCTGGTTCCGGTCACCTTTTCCCCCGGGCTCTGGGTATACGGATGCCTGCGGGCATTCAACCCTTGGCCGCCCAGGCCAGCCTGCGGATGGTTCTGGGTATCAGCAGTATCCCAGCAGTTACGGGCCTCGCCGGTACATGTCTGGGTGTCCACCTGGTGGGATTGATGGTCCATCCTTTTTTTGCGGATAGGGTGGCCAGCCTCAGACTCAGGCGGGCCATGTTGGCCAGTTCTGGGGTCAATCCCAGCCCGCGGGACCATTCCCATTCCCTCAGAGGTTTGGGTTTAATCCTATGGGTTTAATCCTCATGGAATTCCTGGGGGTTGGTTTCTCCCTTTAGGAGACGGTTAAGCAGTTCGGAGTCCCCCCAACGTTCTGCTACTCCGAAGGCCTTGTCAGCCGGTCCCAAGAAGGTTTGCCGGACCTTTAGGACTTCCGCCTCCTGCACGGACCCAGGGGTTGGCTTCGGGTCTAAGACCCAAGTCTACAGCCACGGCGGTTAGGCTCTCTGCGTCTAAACGCCGTATGGAAGAGCCTCACTGTCTGGAGTCGGCTCCTCCGGTGGCCCCTGTTCCTCCCACAGAGACTTCGGTCCCAATCGAGGAGGAGATGGATTCTGAGGGCGCGGGCATGGCAGTTAGACGATGCTGTTCATCTTTCTCCGGGGTGCTCGGACATTGACCCACCCGAGTCGCCTGATGACGACCCTACCGGTGAGGAGAGTTCTCGGTGGGAAGATGGCCCCGATGCTGCTGAAGCTGAGGCTCAGCATGCTCTGTCCGGGATTCGGGCCCTCCGGGCCGATGTCTCCCGTATTCTCGGGTTGGAGGTTTGCCCACCACCGTCTGCGTCGTCGATTCCGGAGTCCACCACCCTTTTAGGTTCTTTGGTGGCCCCTCGGGCATCCGGTCAGTCAGATCAGTCTCTGCAAAAAGGCACTATCGTGTCTTCTGCTCTGGGCACTGTCCGGGCTCAGGTATTGAAAAAGAATTCTTCGTCTACCCGTACTCCCGGGTTTGCTGGGCTGCAACTCGGCGATGGTGATCTGTCGGAGGCTTCTGTCAACGACTATGCCACGCATGATGGGCAACTAGCCCCTCAACCAGCAAGGCTTCTCGGGCTCTACCCTGTTCGGGGGAGCGCTTTCTTCTGTACAGAATGATATGAAGGAGGACTCAGGACTCGGTCGCCTCAGCACTTATTGTGAAGAGGTTTCAGACTTAGAAGGCCAGTGCCTCGCAGGGGTCAGCGCCTCCTAAGAAGGAGGCGAAGTCTTCGGCTGCTCAGTCTTCTGCTCAGCCCAAGTCCAAGCCTCACTTCAAGGGCAACAAGGGGGAAGGTAGGAAGGGTAAGAACCCTCCTGGGTGCAAGAAGAAGGGTTTCTGAGGTCTTCAGCTACTTGGCCGCGGCATACCAAGAGCCGGGTCGGGTGGACGCCTGTTTTCCCATCTCAAGCTCTTGTCCCTATCCCGCAGGAATATGCTCCGGGTGGGCAGACGATTCGCTGGTTTGGCAGGGTCTCGATCTGCCCCACCCGGCGCTTCCCGTGTGTGTGTGGTGGGGGGGAGGGGGGTGGAGGTGTCTCTCCGCTTTTCTCCCGCAGTAGCAGGAGATCTCGGAAGATGCTTGGGCTTTGTCGGTAGTCAGGGAGGGTTTAGGTATTCCCCCTTCTTCGAGATCCGCCCCTCGCCGCCCCGCCGATTTTCTTTTCCCCTTCAAGGGATGCAGAAAAGGCTCGGGCGCTCCAGGAGGAAGTAGGGACCATGCTGGCCAAGGGCGCGATAGAGAAGGTGCCTATGTTGGAGTGCACTCCCGGCTTCTACTCCAGAATGTTTCTGGTTCGGAAGAAGTCCGGGGCGTGGCGTCCGATCATAGATCCCTTCAACAGGCAAGTAGATTCTCCTCACTTCAAGATGGAGACCCCACGGGGTATTATGGCCTCTGTGAGGGACGGAATGTGGACAACTTCAGTAGATCTGAAGGATGCCTACTTCCATATCCCCATCAAGAAGTCGGCATGGAAGTTCCCCCGTTTCATGAGCAACGGCAGGGTCTTCCGATTCCGGGCCATGCCCTTCGGGCTCACGACAGCTCCTTTGGTGTTCACCAAGTTGCTGCAGGTGATCGTGGGATTCCTTCACTCACGCGGAATAGACGTCCACATCTATTTCGACGACTCCCTCATGCTCCATTTGGTGAGGGAATCGCTAGTGAAGGACACTCGTCTTGTCCTGAAAGAAGTCAGAGGTTTCCCCATCTCAGGACTTCGTCTTCCTGGACAACCGTTTCGACATGGTTCGGGGCTTAGCCCTTCCACCTCTAGAGAATTTCGAGAAGGCCAGGGCTCTGGCTCTGACCTTCATCGCATGGTTGCATGTCCAGGTACGTTGGTTCCTCAGTTTTCTGGGGTATCTCAACTCCCTGACAGATGAGGTCCCCCTAGGGAGGCTTCACATCAGACCTCTCCAGATGTTCCTCCTGTCCAACTGGGTTCCGTCATCCAGGAAGTGGGAGGCTTACCCAGTCGGTCAGGGAGTTCGCTCGCTGGTGGACCACTCAGGAGAACGTTCACCGTGGGATGCCTCTGACCAAGCCTGTCCCCTCTATGACCCTGTTCACGGATGCTTCCATGACAGGATGGGAAGCTTACCTCGACGACCGATGCCGCTAGGGAGGGGTCTGGCGAATAGCTCTCGGAGCACATCAATATGCTCGAGATGAGCGCTGTTCTTTTGGCTCTGCAGTCCTTTCAGGGTATTCTGCAGTCCAAAGTGATTTGTGTGGCTACCGACAACTCTACATTTGTCGCGTATCTGGAGAGGCAGGGGGCACCAGGTCTCACGTCCTGTGTGTCCTCGCCATCCGCATCCTTGTTATCTGCCAGGACATTCAGTTGACCATAGCGGTCAAGCATCTTCCTGGCAGGCTGAATGTGTTGGCGGACACTGTCTCAAGCCGCCGCCAGCCGGTGTTGACGGAATGGCAACTGTTGTGTGTCCCTTGATTTTCAAGGGGATTTGTCAGGTGTGGGACAAACCTCTTATAGACCTGTTTGCCATTTCCCTGAACAACCAGCTGCCAACATTCGTCTCTCCGGTCCCAGACCCAAAGGCTTGGGCTATGGACGCCCTTTCTCTGGACTGGGACAGGATGTATGCATATGCATTCCCTCCCTTCAATCTGGTGGGTAGGGTGCTACAGTAGTTCCGGGAGCATCACTGCTCCTTACTTCTGATAGCCCTTCCGGAGCTCTTGTCGTTACTGGTGGAGGAGCCCATGGCTCTCCCCACCAGACCGAATCTCCTTCGCTAGCCTCGGTCCAGAACGACACTCTCGACCAGAGATCCTCCACCTTCACGCGTGGAGGCCATCTCTGGAAGCCTCGCCAAGGCAAGCTTTTCGCGAGAGGTGTCAGATCGCATCGCGCGATCAATCAGGGCTTCCTCTTCTGCCGTCTACCAGTCACGTTGGAAGATCTTCTTTGATTGTTGTGTCGGCAGGTAGGTTGATCCGTTCGAAGCCTCTGTGCAGTTGATTGCGGATTTTCTACTCTCTCTGTTTAGGGACCGCAATCTGGCACCTGGCACTATCGCTGGCTATCGTACAGCTATTATCAGTGTCCTTGCGTTTTATGGCAGGAAAGAGATAGGTTCGTCCTCCTCTTTTCTGCCCTAATCAGAGGCTTCGCTCTATATAGACCCAGAGTTCGAGACCGTCTGTTTTTGCCCATCAAACAGGGACAACGAGATATCTCCTCCCTGTTGGTTTCCAGTTGGGTTTGCCAGGTGATTAAGTATGCTTACGAGCATTCTGATGATCAGGCTCGGGCGAGAGTGAAAGTGCGGGCTCATGAGGTCAGGGCACTCACTGCGTCCTGGGCCCTTCTCAATGGGTCCTCCTTTCAGGAGGTCATGTCTGCAGCATTCTAGCGGGGCAGGGATACCTTCACAGATTTTTATCTGCTATCCCTGGTGCTGTGCCTCCTCGTTAGCCCCGGGGCAAGTCTTTCAGTACGGCGGCATGTGGGTACGCCTGCTCTTACATAGGGAGGTCCCTTCCTTCTGTTTGGCACTCTCTGTTCTCCCTCCATACTACTTTAGCTGTGCTTATGGGAATGTCTGGTTTCTAGTCACCACTACGGTAAGACGAATTCGCATACTAAAGTTATGGTAATTATTACTGAAATGAAATTGAGGTTTTTTCATGTAAAACCAATTTTCATGAGGTAATACTTACCATAACTTTATGGAGTCCCATTCTATCCTCCCCTCTTCCTTATTTGCCTGGCCGCCCCTCTGTGGGGTGCTCCATAAAGGTAATTAAAGGAAGTGTAAACTGTGAACTTGTCTTTCCGCCACCACTATGTAAATTTCGGTCACTCCAATTAACTAATATCATTTTCCCAAATGAGAACGAACAAGATATGAACCTGAAATGTTACGTTTATTTTATAGATTGGTAATGAACCGCCCCTGTTGGTCTTATTATTAGCAAAGTAAACATATAATATAGAAATATGTTCTTTCTCTAAAGATAAGGAAAAGATATACGACTAAAGCGGCTAGTCTATCTCACTCTTTTAAAGTTTTTGCAAGTTCTTTGCATATATTTTCCCACAGTTATATCAAAAGTCAGGGATGAAAGTAATTTAACTCTATATTATCAACTAAGGATCTAATGTTTCTTATTAACATTTTGTTGCATTCTGGGGGTTTCTTTTACACTGATCGTTTTTCCTTTAACTTGAACCGAGAAACATAGTTAAATAGTAAATTAAAAGATCCCATTACTTATTTCATAACATTTAAATGTATGCATTTAAGTACATAAACATATGGTATCAGGTTCGCGAGCTTTGTGGTCTCACTGATTAGCACTGTGATGATACAATTTGTTTAGTGGTATTATACTTATTATAATTTTAACCTACTGTAAGTGAGTGCAAAACCAATATAATGTTTTAGTTGTCGAATATAGAAAAATAATACAGACATGGAAATATGATTTTGTCGCTCAGATTTGATTATCATGTTCGTTTGCTCACTCGTCTAACGTAGTGATGAACATTTCTTCGTGGACAAAACTATTTTTGTCGTCTACGATCTATACATCAATGTTTCGGTGTACGCTCTTATATGAAAACAAGTGTACTGTGTTACGACATAACAATATTTGATATTAACATATGCAACATTTTAAGTAGAAACTATGTCAAGCTTCTATTACAGTGTCATGGTGAAATGGGACACTCCTTGGTATGTCTTACTTTACTTTGTCACGCAGTTTTTGTGCAAAATTTGATATACATCATTATTATTTAAATATCATGATGTGATATCACACTTGCTGATGAAACATGAAATGTTACCTACCTATATTTTTATTGACCGACAAAGGTAAAAACGGTCAGTAGCATCTATCAAGCTTTGAAAATCTCCTGTGATACCAACAAGAAAACAATGTCTGTTGCACCTGATGGTGGATGGGGCTGGGTTGTCACTTTCTCAGCTTTTATGATTAATGGATTAGTAAACGGAATCGGCCTTTCTTTTGGTATATTTTTTACCGAGTACCGCGCGTATTTTGGAAGCAGTAGTGGGGAAACACAATTGCTTGGTTCTCTTGCTAACGGAATTTCTTTCATGTTTGGTAAGTACATAAAACTAGAAATGGAAACACATTAATGAATGGCTATCATCCAACACATTTTCAGGTGAAAAATCCTTCCGTCGATCCTGTTTCAGTGTTCAACTACAATTTTACTCTTTTACAAGACTTGGTTTGTTTTCGTGTCTAATATGCCAGTACATGAAAAAGTAAAGTCTTATGTATGGGCGGAGAGGAACAGAGAGTCTTGATGAGTAGCAAATCGGTTGTCCAGGGAGGACGCTGGAAAAAAATAAGGATAATTTGGCAAACAATTCGCTTTATGCTTTATTGTTTAATCCAACATCGTTGATGACGTGGTCTTTTGTGAAACATTATTGTAAAATGTGGAATGTGTTATAAACAGGACCGGTTGCCGGGATGGCAGTAAACAAGTTCAATTGTCGTCGTGTCGGGATGTTTGGAGCGATATTGTCCAGTCTGGGACTATTCCTTTCTACATTTTCCCCAAGTCTTGACGTGATGATTCTGCTGTACGGTGTCATAATGGGTATG